CGGTTCCCAACTGTGCAGATCGATGCTCATGCTGTTGATCACTGGATTGTCTGGTCCAGACTCGATTATTTACAGACCGCCGCCATATAGCTGGAATATTGCTGAGCGCGGCGTAAAACTAAACTCACTCACTCACTCACGACGAAGACCAGGGTTCGATCCCCAACTTGGGTACAATGTGTGAAGCCCATTTCTGGTGTCCCCCACCATCGTATTGCTCTAATATTGCTAAAAGCGGCGTAAAACTCACTCACTCACTATTATGTCCAGTGTTGAAATTCGTATGCGGCTAATGGTGTTCCTGATGCTGCATACAGACATCCGTTCAGTGCCGTATATTAAGTTAATCCATAAATATGAAGCTCATTTTCATCGAGAAGTATCAACATGCCGGGCCAGCTTTCAGTTTGCCTCGATGACATACATATTTCAGGCTAAGATCGGTACGATGACGTGTATTTCATCGAGTGTTAGAACTAGTCAGGTCACTAGATGAAATGATCATGTTATCTTGCCAAGTAGCCGCTTTATAATTTACTTCCAAGGTTAGAACTGTCTGAAATTTGTAAACTGTTTCATTGTTAGTGGTTCTAATAGCTGATTGGTCAATTTAAGCAATGTGACTGCAAACTGACGTAATTTCAGAACATCACATAATAACGCCATTGATTGTTCATGACGCCATCGTTGTACGTTACGTCATCTAAACAAAGGTGAACGTCAGTGCACTGACCAAGCAGGATGCATCTTTTGGTACGTTTCTTCCATGCTATTGTTTTTTAATCTGTGTACTAACCCAGTATAAATGCTTCAGATTGCGATCTGTGGTTCTCGTTAATGAAGGGGCGGTTGGGTAGCCTAATGGTTAAAGCGTTGGCTCGTCACGCCGAAGACCCGGGTTCGAATCCCCACATGGGCACAATGTGTGAAGCCCATTTCTGGTGTCCCCCGCCGTGATGTTGCTGGAATATTGCTTAAAGCGGCGTAAAACCAAACTCAGTCAGTCAGTCAGTCAGTCGTTAATGAATGTTGTAAGTTTCCCCACCAACGATAAAGGATTACTACGCCCAGTCACTCAGGAATGATAGTCCGCGATCTTTCGTAGCTCGGTGGTCATTCTTTAATTACGGCTTTCTTGGATAGCTCCGAGGTACACTGGCAATTTTGAACGTGTTCGCAGCCAGCTGTAGAAGCATTCAAGGAGGTATTAGCAGCGAGGTGTGTTTAGCGTCTACGATACAGGTCAAGCAACGACACAGACTACACATGACGACATGAAGCGCAATCCAGCTTCATATGGACGACATCGAAACCACAACCCGGCTTCACGTGGCGTCTTTAGAAGTCACTATCGCTACAATTGAACTTCAATATGGCAAAATCTTAAGGTTTCCTGATCCAAGTGACGGCATGCGATTCAGTTGACGACGTCTGAACTACAAACCTTGTACCACGTGATATCTGAACTACAAACCGAATTCCCCGGGACATACGGACTATAGCTGAGCACCACGTGACAATTGAACTACAGCTCCACCGCGTGATATTTGAACCACATCCCAGTACCACGTGACACCTGAACTACAAACCGTGCTCCACGCGACATCTAAATTTCAGCCAAGCTCCTCGTATCTGAACGATAGTCGCAGTTCCTTGTGACATCTAAACTTCCAACCAAGCTCCTCGACATATTGACTATAGCCGAGCATCACGTGACAATTGAACTACAGCTCAGCTCCACGTAATATCTGAACTGTAACGGAGCTCCACGTGACATCTAAACTACAAACCAAGTTCCACGTGACATCTGTTCAAACTCATTTCCACATGGTGACACGTTCCCAGTCCCCGAGGCAAAAACAGTCGACTGCAGCGTCCGTGATTCGTTCTTCAGACACTAGATCTGATCAATGCTAAATCTGTTATCCTGGTCAAATTGAGTCTCCTGATCAAATAAAGCACTTAGAAAGAGCTGTCAATACATTTTACACTTCCCTTCTGACCCAGTCGAAATGTTTGCAGTAGGGGAGCCTCTCTGAACTTCACCTCTGACCCTCGACAAGCATGTAATCAGCTGAAGAAAGCCAGGGGCGTTATGGCATCAATCGGCTAGTTGGTCAGTATATGAACCAGTGGAAATCAACTGAACACAATCGTCTTAGTAGGATATGCCTCGGTTCTGTTGCATAGAGGAATCTTAACGCTATTGCTTGTGAACAGCTTTGTAAGACACATTACTCTCCAGAAAGAACTCTGCGCTCATCACAACAACTGTTACTTGCTGTCCCGAGCTACAATCTAAAATCATTTGGCTCAAGAACATTTTCATATGTAGCAGCTTCTTTGTGGAACTCTCTCCCTATCGGGTTAAAATCATCTCCTTCCCTAAGTACATTCAAAACACGACTAAAGACTCTTCTATTTCTCCGCTACAAGTGACTTCCAATCATCCGTACCTGTCAGCTGTATATAGTTTTAACTTGAGCTCAGGAAGCGCTTTGAGCATATCCCTGTGACGTGGAAAGGCGCTATATAAATGGCCTGTTATTATTATTAAGAACTATGCCGTCGTTCTCTCATTCTTTAACATACGTACAGCAAACACTAAGACCACATAGCATTTGAAGCTGATGTTGAGAATACTGAAGTGTTTATTAATCTCGTAGGTAAAGCCTTTGCCCATGGTGCAATTCCCTAACGGGATATCGGATTAGAGGGAGTTTGTTACATGATATTATATAGGGACAAATTCGGGACCAAATATTTATGTCGGTTTACGGGGAATGTCGGATTAGAGGGAGGTCGGTTTAGAGGGAGTCCACTGTAGTTAGTTGTGTTTATACTGAGCCGCAGTTATATGACAGCCGTGTGCAAATAATCGAGTCTAGTACTCAACAGCCGCGGCAAGCATTATGTGGAACAGCTAAAAGCGTGGGTGTCATGCAATCACCCACGTTACCCACCATATACATGTATACAGAAATATTTACCAAACCCTTTCAATTATTATCACAATCGCTGAACTCATTGTACAACCCCGATCATATCCTAAATATATGTTTGTGAATCACAATCAAGTAGTAATTCTTCCATGTGTTTGCAAACCGGTGAATCTATCCTGCCCACCGGTGGCATACGTCAGAAACACTAGCAAAGGCATGTCAAGTGTTAACCTTAACAACATGGGAACACACACATGGTACAGATGAAAATAATTAGTTGCGACACACATACTTTCTGATGTTTGATTGATGTTTCAAATCCGGACATGCTCTACACATGACAAAGGGCGTAGCTACCGTTATAAAAGCCCGGGCTTACACAGGAAGTGTGCTGAAAAACATTTTTTTTCCAATTCGTGCCAAAAATATCTCAAATACTATCTAAATATAAAGCTTTGCAATCTATCGGGCTTACACGAAAAAATCAGCTTGCTACGCGCCTGATGACTACCATAAACTCTTGACTAAGGCCTCGATTGCAGCAACCTTGATCAAACAACTTTCGAGTATGAGTCGTATAGCGTTCTTGAAATTTTCGAATAGAGAGCAGGCTGAAACGTTGTCACTATACTAACACAATGTTAGGATCTGATGAAATATTATTCGACATAGTCTTGTGGAACGTGTATTGCTGTCTTGATTCAGAACATACATCCAATACACTGGCGGACACAATATTGTGTAGGTTCATGTTTCATGGTGCCTAACATGAAACCAAAACTGAAACAAAGATTACATACAGTCTGTTTGCAGTGAAAACGTACCGATGAATGTCACTTTAAACCCAAAAGTAAAACAAATAAAGTGAAATTAAGATTGCGAATCCTCGTGGTTTTACCTTGCCAATTGAACATTTAAATCTGAGAATTTTATTTGACTTAGGATAAAAGTTGGTTAACAAACGATCATAGTTTGACATGGCTATTATTGGTTTGTATTACAAGGGGGTATGCACATCAAATGAAACACCGGAAACGGCAAGGGTTGTTATAAGTTAACGCTCTTCACGTACCGCACGTTTCATTTGTTTCACTGTTCCAACGACTGCGCTTATCCACTTGTAATACAAACCAGTAATAGCGATTTGAATCTATGATCGTTTGTTAAACAACTTTTATCCTAAGTTGAATAAAATTTTGAGATTTAAATGTTCAACTGGCAAAATAAAAATCATGAGTATTCGCAATCTTAATTTCACTTTATTTGATTTACATTTTTGTTTAAAGTGAAATTCATCGGTACGTTTTCACTGCAAACAGACTATATGTAATCTTTGTTTCAGTTTTTGTTTCATTTTAGGCATTTGTTAGAAGGTGACTATCCATAGAACTTGGTTTTCCTACATCCACATCGTTGTTTGTGCAAAAGACCATTCCGAAATCATACAAACTCAGCCGGGTATATAGCCAGGCGATTTATCGGACGTCCGCTGTTATCTCCAGATGAGAAAGTAGCAGGTTTTTCTTGAGGTCTTGGGGAAGGGACGAAAGTCATTTTCTATTTTTCATGACTGATGGCCGAGACCGCGTTTGGCGCCGCAAAGACACTGCATGCGCACAACGGCACATCGCGGAGTCAGTACCGTTTGGCAGAGGTTCACGGATGGTATGGGCTTGTCGTTCTGAAGACTGTAAATGTTGATATGAACAATTTCGAAGGCCATCCTCAACATTACCAGTATAGTCGCATAAAAACATTTTTATTGTATTATTTATAAAATAAAGTACTTAGTAATTAAATGTCTACTTTTTATTTTCGCATGGGGATTTCAGGGAGGTTCCCAGTACCTCATGTTTAAGCCGAATGAAGATCATGCTTGATTGTGGTTTGCTTGATTGCGTGTCATCGTGACCTGATGATCGTTGCTCATGCTCTCAACCGCTTGTTTGCCTGGCGAGTATTGTAAACAACAGCCGCTGTAGCTGACTGGGACACCAGTACCCGCTTATTTTGTATATCTGATTATATTGCTGAAATATATTGCATTGTCCATTTCAGAGACATCAAGCCTGACAACATCTTACTGGACGAAGAAGGTAAGTTTTAGTTTCACAGTACAGATTAGGGACCGTTATTATGGCCTAGGGGTGTGTGTGTGTGATGATTTTTATGGAGAAGCATGTACAATGTGAATGACCCCCCTAAAATTTATGGACAAAGTAAGTGACCCCCCTGCATGTTATGTACAAAGTCAATGACCCCCTTCCCCCTTCCCATATTTTTAAAGCCTGGTATTAAAATATTTTTATGTACAAAATTGCTGCCACACACCCCCGAATCATGTGTACAAAATTGCTGACCCCTACCTCCCCAGAACAAAATGGTTCTTTCCTCTCTTCTCCCCCTAAAAATTTTTTTATCAAGATTTTAATGCCTACTTCGAAGTCTATGAAATGATGATGTCTGTTTTTGTTTTCAGGTCACGCACATATAACGGACTTTAATATCGCCACCACACTTGCCACTGGAGAACTAGCGACATCTATGTCTGGAACCAAGCCTTATATGGGTATACGAAAATGAGATGGAATTATTAGATGACACGTTGAACTATATATAGTTTATATATAGTTCATGTATATAGCATTGTATAGCATACCTCTTGAGCTTTATAGGATATCTTTCAAAATACGTATGTACAACTTAATTGCGTGGTATGTATTGCGGGCTATTGGTGTGTTGTATATTTCAAAATGTCGATTATGCAGAACTCAAACGGTCATCATTGCGGTGAATTAAAGTGATGAATAATATATAACTACCTCACAGACCTTGCGCTGACCATGGATCAGAATAGTGGGATTCGAACCAACGATCAGATGATTCTGTATATGTGCGACGTGAAACATCGCTTCATTACAAACTGTCAGGACTCGCGTGTGAGAGGCTGTTGTTTAACGCCGCAATCAGCAATATTACTGTATGTAAATATGTGTCTCATGAGAAAACAAAGACAATGAATAACAAATCACCACAATATATAGACAAAAGATATACATGTCAAATAAGTAAGTAAGTAAACTACAGAAGTCACCTGTAATTGCCATACCATGTTGTTATTCTCTTCAGCCCCGGAGGTGTTCGCCTGTTCCTTGGATGAAAGCCGTGGATATGGGTACCAGGTAGATTGGTGGTCCTTGGGGGTATCAGCGTTTGAATTGCTCAAAGGAAGGGTGAGAGTATATTATGTTAGAAAAATGGAATGAGTGAGAGAGTGAATGCTTTTTACGCCACAACCAGTAATACCACAGCTGTAGCGGTGTAGTTAGTGCAAACTAGAGGTGAAGATAATGAGCACCGTCGGGGAAAGTTGTCATACCATCATACAGGTCACACACTTTGTAACAAAACTATCCCAATATTTGTCTGTGGTAGTTGATTTCCATCTTGGAGAACAATGCTACATCCTACTTTAACTTCGGCCTTTCATTTAAATCCCCATTAACCATGCATCTGTACTCGATGATGCCCTTAACATAGAACCATAGAATAAGTAGGTTTCAGTAATACCCGTGAAGATCGGTGTTCGAATTGGTCTTCAGCAACCCACGCTTGTCGTAAGAGGCGACTAATAGGATCGGGTGGTCAGGCTCGTTGACACATGTCATCTTTCCTAATTGCGTGATCATGATTTTGATCACTGGATAGTTTGGTCCAGACTCGATTATTTACATTTAGCTGGAATAAAGAGGAGTGCAGCGTTAAAAACCCCAAACAAACAAAGGTCTTAGTAAACACCGTACAGAGAGAAACCAGGATAGTGATTAGTCGTGTCAAAATGCAAAGTATATTTCTCAGTTTTGGAAAAGTTCTCTGCACTTGTGTGTCATTAGTGTTGACGGGGAGGGTCATAACTATAGGACTATTCCTTTCGTGTCGCCAGAGGCCTTACGAGATCCACGGTTCAACCTCCCTGGCTGAGGTAAAGGCGCTGTTCCATACTACCAAGGTGCACTACCCCTCGCTCTGTGATAACGGCATGAAGGACCTCCTCCGACAGGTCAGTGAAGTGTGTGGGGCTCTCCGTTATGTATGGTCTGTTTGCAGTGAAAACGTACCGATGAATTTCACATTCAACAAAAATGTAAATCAAATAAAGTGAAATTAAGTTTGCGAATCCTCATAATTGTATCTTGCCATTTGAACATTTAAAACTCAGAATTTTATTCAACTTAGGATAAAAGTTGTTTAACAAATGATCATAGTTTCAAATCGCTAATACTGGTTTGTATTACAAGGGGGGAAAGCGCAGTAGTTGGAACAGAGAAACAAATACACGTGCGGTACGTGATGAGCGTTAACTTAGAACAAACCCTACTTGTTCTCGGTGTTTCATTTAATGTGCACACCCCCATGTAATACAAACCAATAATAGCGATTTGAAACTATGATCGTTTGTCAAACAACTTTTATCCTAAGTTGAATGAAATTCTCAGATTTAAATGTTCAAATGGCAAGGTAAAATTATGAGGATTCGCAATCTTACTTTCACTTTATTTGATTTACATTTTTATTTAAAGTGAAATTCATCGGTACGTTTTCACTGCAAACAGACTATAGTCCATGTTTACATAGACACACAGTGTACTACGGTTATAACAAACTAAAATAGTGGTCCCTTTGAGTTTTATATAACCTGGAATATTCGATGTCCTGCTTCAGTATACCGATAGTTTACTATGTTGTGTACGTACCCGTGAAGATCCGGTTTGGAATTGGTCTTCAGCAGCCAATACCTGTCGTAAGTGGCGACTAACGGGATCTCTTGGTTGGGCTCACTGACTTGCTTGTCAAATGTCTCGTATTCAGTTGATCACTAGATTGTCTAGTCTAGACAGTTATTTACAGAGAATATTGCTGAGTGCGGCGTTAGACAACAAGCAAACAAACAGGTTACACCAAGATCGTAATGAAACACCATCTGTATTGACGTCCTATGGAATAAGGGAGATAAATCTCGTTCAATGGAAGGATTTCCACATTGAAGCGGCATATAAATGTTCGAGAAGTGTATTTTCTGCATTTTCTTTTCATGCAAAATTTATTCCCAGTTTGATGAAATCATAACAACATATGGCATTTTCCTTACAATGAATCCTTCACTGTTTATCCAAATACCAAACCACAGGCAAATTGTAGCGCAAATAGGGTTGCGCAACAAAGAGAAAATGACCAGTCTTCTCATTTGCGAGCTACAATTTGCCTGTGACCAAACCTACCATTCTTCCCAACAAGAACTCTTGCAACAATACGCGCTTCGCTGCGACATAGCTAACATTTCCCAACAACAAAGTAACAATATCAACACACAATGCCACTTAGAAAGTGGTAAGATGTAACATATGTAATATTTGGGATGACACTTTCTGAGTAAATTACAGATTCCAGCACATTTTGGTTGTGTCCTATCCGAACTCTGGGGGTGTGGGTTCGAATCCCTGAAAGAACTCAACATCCAAAAGTACTAGAATCTGTACTTCACTGTGAAAGTGTAATCCCAAAAAGGGATCCAAATCCTCATATTACCAATTTCACCAATTTGGACGACGCCTGAGAATGCCGATTATGGAAAGAAACTTAATGTTTTGTGTCAACCCTTTCTAACTGGTTTTTAATCCCTGTCAACCCTTTCTACTTCAGTTAAGGGGCGGTGGGTAGACTAGTGGTTCAAGCGTTCGCTCGTCAAGCCGAAGACACGGGTTCGATTCCCTACATGGGCACAATGTGTGAAGCCCATTTCTGGTGTCCCCCGCAGTGATATTGCTGGAATATTGCTAAAAGCGGCGTTAAACCAAACACACTCACTCACTTCAGTAAAGATAATGATACGTGTATGTTTCTCCTTCCTGGATATATACTGATGGAAATGAATAAGGGAACACATGAAAGTACAAGTGTTCCTTTATATGTTCACAGGATTTCAGGATAGTGGGGTAGCCTAGTGGTTAAAGCGTTGGCTCGTCACGCCGAAGACCCGGGTTCGAATCCCCACATGGGTACAATGTGTGAAGCCCATTGCTGGTGTCCCCCGCCGTGATATTGCTGGAATATTGCTAAAAGCGGCGTAAAACCAAACTCAGTCAGTCAGTCAGTCACAGGATTTCACTCACATTGCAATACAAAGCATGCCAAGAAGCCTGGAAAAGAATACAGGCACATTTGTACTTTCATGTATTCCCTTATTCGATTCGTTTCCATGAGTATATTATAATTTAATCGAAAGTATCTTACAGATATATAAATATATTTCTATATTTTTATAACAAAGCATTATCTTACATCATCTTCCATGACTGTACTTGTTATGCATGTTTCCAGTTGCTGGAGGTGGATCCAAGTCAGAGGTTGTCCACATTGTCTGGCTTCCGTAGACATCCTTTCATGGCGGACACAGACTTGGACCCAGTGCTCAGGAAAGAAGTCAAACCTGCTTTTGTGCCTTCTGTGAGTCTGTCCCATAATATTAACTTAATTTGGACACTCGGGTCTACTCGGCTGTTTTCTTTCCTTACGTATTACCTCGACCAGCAGTAGCGTAGTTATATTGCATGATGTCACAGTAGACTGCAATGATATATCCTGCCGCGTAAAGTTTCAAATGCCCGTGCTGTGTTATGAGAATGAAAATAGTTCCAATATGGATCCCTGCCAGATAAACGAGATTGAGCTGAACTAAAGCTTAGTTCTCTGACTATATATAATTTTGATGGGAACAAATAATTCCTTTTAAATTGAAAAGGAGCCTCATAGAGATGGGAGGTTCTTTTAGCTGAGGAAATCTAGACTTGCTTTATTTAGGGCCTTAGCATGCAGATAAACCTGGGCGGAAGGGAAAATAATCGGGTTCAGGGACTGTGAGACAGGCTAATTTTGAGCTTGTGTCGTCTTACAGCGGTAACGTTAGAGCGCCCAACATAAGCGTATGCATATCATAGTTGTTTTATCTAGTATCTAAGAATGATGCTGTCACGATACAATAACGAAGGAATTAAGGATAAAGGATTTGATCCAACATGTCACAGATACTAGTAACAAAGGGAGACAATTCTCATTCGCGAATGTATATTGGAAGCCAGATTCATTTTGATGATACAGCCGTGCCATCTAGAAATGTTCCCATCCGACTTTTTGTACCATTACAGCATTGATACTTGTATGCTGCCCAATAACCGGGCTTATACGGATTGTGACGAATGTCTCCGTCACTAGGGTTGTATTGTATGTTGGGTGTACAACGAGGGGCATGTTGTGTTTCCAGAAGGATCACCTCAACTGTGACCCCACGTACGAACTCGAGGAGATGATCATAGAAACGAAACCGCTGCATAAGAAGAAGAAGAGACTGGCCAAACAGAACTCCAGGAAGGGGGAGATGATGTCCCAGTCTTCAACAGAGGTAGGGAATGGGGCTGTGACACCCAGGGTGGGTGGTGTGACTGTCCAGACTGGGACAATAGTGGACTTCGAACAGGGGTCAGATGCACTGATAAATGACGTCAAGGGGAAAGAATAACCAGCTCCGATTATCCAGTTCCATTGGGCGCCAATGGCTCAATTGGGGGCAAAATTGCATGAGTGAGTGAGTGAGTTTAGTTTTACGCCACACTCAGCAATATTACAGCTATATGGCAGCGGTTTGTAAATAATCGAGTCTGGACCAGACAATCCAGTGATCAACAGCATGAGCATCGATCTGCGCAATTGGGAACCGATAGTCGACTTTTGTAGCAAGCATGGGTTGCTGAAGAACTATTCTACCTCGGCTCTTCACGGGTCCAAAATTGCATGAAGGGATCGCGACATGTTCGCGTAAAGGATTTCTTTGTAGATGACTTAGCATAAGTGATAAATGCGTCTATAGACGTGATCGTTGTCATACTTCTGTTTCAGGAAATGGACGAGCTGCAGATCTATCTGAAGAGTATAGGAAAAAACTTTACACCTTACAACAGGGAGAAGTAAGTATTAGTTTTCCATCAAGTTTTCATTCAATCAATCGACACAATTGGGATACGATAACATGCATTCACCCCAAGTTAGCCAGTCTGACCAACCTCATTAGTCGTGTTTTACTACAGGCAAGGACACCAACGATTTCAAACAATTACGTAACAAAGAAGTAAAGGTGTGTATGTAACTAAATGCCCGTCGACATTCGTGAATATTTGAGCAGAATACAATAATGTCTCATCTCTTTGTTTTTTTCTGTATTTCAGAAGTCTCGAGGAGCAAGAGAGGAAAAAGCTAGCAGACCTGGAATCGGAGAAGCAGAAGACACTATCAGACGATCCCGAGAAGCAAAAGATAGAAGCAGACGACACCGAGCCGTCTTGATACCCATCCTCGCTACACAGGGGTGTATCTGTTGTATAATATTTGGCTGAATTTTCTCCTTTATATTATATAGGCAATAACAGTTCCGGAGAAATATAACAATCTCGCAGCCAGAGTATCACCATCAGGTCATTATTTGCAATATGTGGGTTATATTCCAGGAAAGAAAATGCACATGTGCACTTTCTGTTGTTGTTTATAATATGATTTGCATATTTACACGTCATCCAATATCGGATGACATGCGGGACATTTTTAAGACGATTCCGATAAATGATAACAGCTTACCAAAAGCCAGAAGCATCTTTATTGAAATAAGGTGGCGCTGTAGAGAGCAGAGAACAGCCAATTGAAATATATACGTCGTGTACCTTGGTCAGATTTATTGAATGACTATGGGACCAAAGGCTGAGGGTCTAGGGGGAGTTGGTTTAATGGATTCTTCAGTCGACGTTTGTTTCTTTCATTAGATAGTAATCAATAACTGTTTTAATTGTTATTTTACTGTCAGTGAAGCCAAAATAGCGAGTTAATTTCATTGTGTTGCTTTTAGTTTCACTTCGCAACTGACTTTGCTGTCATGTATTATTCATACAATGGAACATATCTCCTTTCATGACAGTTAGAAGTGGTAACTAGCGGAAAGAATTATGTAGCTGCAATAGTATTTTGAGGGCGTTCGCTCAGTTGTTTTCAGGGCAAATCAGTTTCTTGTGATGAGCGTCATTAAGAGTGGACCAGAGCTACACAACGTTCTGTTCAGACTTTTGATCTTTTTTCATACTGCTCCTTTTCAGCTGCACGGACAAACTGACCTTGACCTTGAAGATAATGTCAGGTCATAATTGTTACAGCCATGTATGTATGCCCAAATGCTTGTTTGACCCTTAATATCTCATGACCCCATTTACTTCGTCCAGCTCAATACCATCCTCGGTTATGCAGGGTGTTTTAACACCATTCTGTTATTATAAACGCCCTGGTCCATTTGCCTTTGTTTCGAGTCCTTTTCGAAAACGTGGACGCAAATAGATGAAAGGTCAAATTACTTCCATGTACGAGGGAAATTCAGCAAAAGGTTACTGATATGAACTACAGAGGTGGTGACGTCACTTCCCAAAGAACGCCATGACAGGTCCGACATATTGATCGGAGTAAAATGGGGACACACTGCATAACAGAGGATGTCCCTATACGCACAGACAAACATATCTTGCAGAAAAATACAGAGCAATCTACCACAATACCGATATGCAGTTAATGCAAAGGAATGACTGCAAATCTGATGATTTGTTACAGAAACGGGTGGTTATAAAAGTTTTGTGCGTTGTTATAAAGTTACAGTGACATTACGTATCACTATAGTTACATCGTGGACAACCAATGGTCGATAGAATGAGCAGCGATCATTCAGGATTCCAGAGATTCCAGAGTGGATTACAGAGATTCCACTCTCTGGAATCATCTTCCACTGGAGCTAAGGACAATAGACAACCTGAAGATTTTCAAATCCAAACTGAAGACAGAGTCTAACTTTTCTTTCTTGAGCTGTTCGGAGAGCGCTACTGAGCAGTACTTTTGGACTGGAATTGGCGCTATATAAATGTTTTCATGATGATGATGATGATGATGATGATGATCATGATCTCTGTTTGCATCGAGTACTGTTTTTAGAATGAAACATAAATTGCAACCATCCCTCGATGCTCATGATGTCAATCACTGGATCGTCTGTGCAGATTCGATTTTTATAGACCGCCGTCATATTGCTGGAATAATGCTGAGTGCGGCGTTAAACAACAGTCTGGCTGAAATATTGCCAATGAGACGTTAAACATTCTGAGACCCCAGAAACCATTGTGTTGCTAATAGGGGTAGCAAAGTGGGTACAGTGTTTCCGGTGTTTGGTTCCCAACATGGGAATGCCACATTGTGTAGAGTCGATTTTCCAGTATCTCATGCTTGTCTAAGGAGCGACTAAAATCTCTTTCTGCCAGTCACTGTCCAGACCTGGTCACTGTAATATGCCAGAATGTGAGCAAGACGACCTGAACACTCACTGCGGCATCGAGGTCCTTCGTCGACATGTTGTCTTGTCACAGGACACAGGGACACTCGATCCTTCAAGAAGTACATCTCCGATCGTTTACAATCATGAAATGTTACAGCATTTTTACAAAAAAGTATTTATGATGACTATTGTTCAAAACATACGTCCTAATGGCCGCAATCGAGAGGAGGTATGTTTTGTGCAGTAGTGTATGTCTATGGTATGAGTTGTTATTGCGTTTGATTTACATGCCAATCATTTATTAAACATTAAATTTCTGAACTTGTATATATTAACACAGTTATATTTATATGTTATAATTCAAATGCATATTTGTTTTGTAAATATTTATTAATGTTATTTTAATGTATATAGCCTCTATTCACGGTTATAGCGGATTGTATTAATATGAAAACATTCACTTCGTGTTGCCAGGATAATGTTTCGTGTAACGTAAATATATTAAATATTTACAAATTGTTTATTTAAAAGTCATAAGACTTGTTTTCGAGTATTTTAATCTCTTTGTCTTGAATAATAACATTCGTATTGAAGAGGAACACTTTTTCTGCATAGACAACTTCTTTAATGTCATAGATGCTAGAAGTCGTCTATCCATAGAAGTTGATCCTCTTTATTATACCAACTTCTTGATGCCACTGAAAGAGGTGAGTTCATTAGCGAATTTAATCCCCGGGAAACATCCAGGCTACAATTGCACTTACTTTCGTAAGAGGCGACAATCGGTATCAGGTAGTCAGGGCTGAAGGTTTGACCAATACATTGGTATCCCAATATCGATGTTCATCAATTCAATCCAGGCTCGATCATTTACAGACCGCCGTCGTTTTGCTGAAATATTGCTGAATGCGACGTTACCAATCTGACACGCCGCCGAGAAGGTGCCATTACACTTTCACTCTACTTTTAACACGGACATTGGTTAAGACGATGCTGTTTCACATGCATGTCGTGTCGGCACCGAGTTGCATGGCACAACAACACCATGCCATTAGAATGTCACAAAATGTCCAGTTAAACACATCCGTTGTTGAACCTAGATTCATTCATGTTTGTTATTTATTGAATGCCATTAATAAGAAAAATAACACCTAAATTAGTGGGCAATATACTGACAATTTGTATTGTTTATATCCTCGTGTATGTATTTATTATAAACCATGTGTGGATTCCTGGTTTAAGAAGTTCCCAGTATTTCGTGCTTGTCATAAGAACCGACTTAAATGCTCTTTCTGCCAGTAGGTTATTCGCCTTGTTCAGATGCGATCATTTAAAGGCCGCCAAAATAAAGCTGTCATAATGTCACTCACGAATGTATATAATAATAATAATAATGAAAATTTATACAGCGCTAAATCCAACCACTACGTGGGTGCTCACAGCGCTCTATCTGACATCGGCGTTAGTGAGATCGACAACCTGCTGCTGCAAATGCCTAAGAAATGCTTATTACCCCCAACATTCTAGAATCAGCTTCAAGATTACCCCGTACACTTTTTGTGAATTCCTATCAAAAACAAGATGCATAACTTGACTGGTCGGCTTCGCAAAATTATAAGTGTGAGTCATGTTTGTAAGGGCGAGAAAATATTTTCTGTGTCTAACAAACATCTTCATGCTATTTTGATTGCATTTCTGCAAAACTTGTAGAGACCAAACAATATTTAAATTGACCAACTTTATATTGTATATCGTAGGAATATGGTCAATATGATGATCAACTGAACGGCAAGGGCTGCGGGTTCTTTGGCAAGCTGCTCACAGTAACGGCAGGCTGCCCTTGTTAGTTAACGTTATTTAAAGCACAATGCAATATCTATGGATAAAATCTCACTTCATTTTACATGTGATCGAATCGTCCTATTTTATAACTGGTTGATTACAACTACTGGTTTGCCTTAGGGTATCTGAAATATTTATGATAAAGGTATTCTTAACATGACAAGATTATTAGAACACCACAAGTTAAATTCATTAATATATACAGATCGGAAAATGTGGTATTTTGTGTATTATTTTGCTCCGAAACAATGGATATGCAATCAGCGTGATTATTAAAGGGTGATCTAGGTATGTTGGGTGTAGACTATAAAAGAGAAACACACAAAAGAGCACGATTGACAGTGATGGAAAAGGTGCCCAAAACACGCCTGAAGTAACCAGTTGTTTAGATCATTCAACGTGCAATATACAAGTTAAAGTCAGTATGGGTATAAACTGGGTTCATTCCAGGTACAGTGAGTGCGTGAGTATGGTTTTACGCCGCTTTTAGCAATATTCCAGCAATACCACGGCGGGGGACACCAGAAATGGGCTTCACACATTGTACCCATGTGGGGAATCGAACCAGAGTCTTCGGCGTGACGAGCCAACGCTTTAACCACTAGGCTACCCCACCATCCCTCCCAGATACAACTGAACAGCACTGTTGTAAGTTGTATACGAGATGTGGGATATCTCTTATTATCTACTGACCCGTTAATAATGACTTTGAGTATATTTTGTTGTTAACTGCTCCAAAATAATAGTTAGAGAATGATTCAGACTTTATTCAGTTTTCACCTCAGCAAGTACTTACGTATGATTTGTTGGTTCCGCAACTAGTGGTACACTATTGCACACGATGCTGGCGGGTATTAGTGTACATAGGCTGCACAGACACTTTGTGATTGGGAATGTACATTACATTTGCCATGGAGACACGTGGTGATATGACTATTTTCTATATCTGCACCAGCATTAATTATCACGTGAGATGTGCAGCAAGATGGAATAAAGTGGATGTTTTTGTATGTCTTTGTTGTTTATTGTGTTCTTGCCGATATACTTTACGTACACGCAATGGATGTTACAAAGGACACGCTCCTAACGCCACACGTCTACACCAACATGGCGGGACTGAACCAATAGTTAACAGTGTGCTGGAGCAGAAGACGGGGTATTGCAGTTCTAATTTTGGTATGGGTATTAAGTACAAGGAGGGCAAGACAATAATGGCAAAGGGGGAATAAAATTGAGACGAAAATGAGCAGTCGGTTTGTTATTTTATATGCATCTGGGTACCATAGTCATGTCCGCAACTGCCGGGCTGTACAGAGGCGTAAAGAGCCAAATGCTTCAATTCATGTTACAGAAGTTAGAAAAATATCTTGGCGATGGTCAGATGAGTGTCGAGAGATACACTAATGTAGTAGAGTCCGTACAATCATGGAAAGCTATCAGACAAATGGAATTATCAGCTTTGTTAATACACACATTCCCACCAACCTGTGAAGATCCGGGTTAAGATATTGTGTTCAGCAACCCATGCGTGTAGGAGGGGCAACGGATCGGGCCGTCAAGCTTGCTGACGTACTTGACACGACATCGTACTCCATTTGCGTAGATGGATGCTTATGTTGCCAATCACCAGATCATCTGACAAACGACCGTTGTCTCCCCCCCCTCCCCCGCCTCCATATCCCCTCAACATTCCGTTGTTGTTTACCGTGAAGTTGCTGAATTTTTGATATGCTTACCGTAATACATTTCACCGTGTATCAACGTGATCTTGTAGTGAAAATCAAGAACACCACTTTGGTGACAGTTTGAAGACCTTTCCACCGTATTTCCTGAGCGTCTGTTCTGTCCCAAAAACTCTACAGCCAAACAAAACGTAGGTACATTTCATGGTAACAGTCACTTGTAATCACGAACGCAAGACCCGGCGTGTATGATCATCCTGGTGTCTAGCAGAGGCAATACGGCACTCATCAGAACGCATGTGTTTGACCAAGAAAAGGAGGTGAATACAGCAGAATTTCAGCATCTCCCACAACCTGTCAAGGCATTTCAGTATATGACGACAAACACACAAACTGTTGGGTTCTTTATTAGACCTAATAACCAGTGCACGCAACAAGCAGTGTAACAGAAAATCAACAAATGAATGCATGTATAAATTGTGTAAATGGGACTTTTCTAGAAATATGGCACAGATAGAGATGACCTTGTGGCCCACTTGTCCAGGACTTGGATACTATAGTAGGTGACTTGTACAGACCTTGTACACAACTTGTGACTAGCTTGTACAGAATATATATATACAGAAAGTGATGAGAATACCGAGCGTACAGTAGTACATATATAAGAAGAAGTCTCTGAAATATTCACACATGCGACTTTTTCTCCAACATGTTTCACTTTTATCTTCAGGAGAAGTGATTACAGTTACAGGATTATGTTATGACGTCACAATATATACAAATGTTGTGACGTGGCCAAGATAGGTGAAACATGTCTAGAAGATGTGTCGTGTGATTATTTCAGAAACTTCGTCTTATATATATGTATATATATACATGGGAAACTCTCCATATGTATATATTGCTGGCAAATTGTGTACAATATTGATATATTCCTTTGCACAATATGTGCACAATTTGTATACAAATTGTTCAAAATATGTAAACTGTACACAGTCAACTTGTACATAACTTGTATAAAATAACCCTAAGTAATCACATCATTATACTGACTTATTTCATAAAACGTGAGAAATAAACAACTAAAGTGTTTAAAAATCTAAAAAGTAATCATCTTATTTCAGACACTGAATAAGAGACCCAACATTTTCTATCATGATATTCTTCTTTTGGGTGTTGGTGCTGATAAGTTTTCCACTATACTGGTTGTCTTCTGGTTGGAATGGGGAGAATTGGTATTGGGGGAGAGAGAAAGGAGACCTTGGTATTGGGGGAGACTTGGTACATGGGGACAGAAAAAGACTTGGTATTCATCAAACAACAAATAATTGTATCCTTGTAAATAGTCAATGTTGCAGGATGCTTTTCAGTATGAGGATGAAGACTTTTATTGCCTGCTTTGCATATGGCATATAAAACAAGAGAAACATGCTCAGTTGAGTAGAAAATATCTACTAACCTCCATGCTCACAATATGGCTGTAACAAATACTCTAACTAAAGTATATACATATACATTGAGATAAAACTTACAAAATATTAATATATAAAATAACCATTTGGTTAATAGATCTAAGGCACTTTTCTCCAAGGAAGATTATTGGTGTATAAACATACTTATTCAATAGTACAGTCAACAATGTGAAACCACTGATTATATCCTGAGTGGGGATGTTCACTACAGATCACCCAACTATGATGCTGACAGTGACAGTACACTCACCATCACCAAGCCTCATTATAGTCTGATGGCTCAAAAGCGGACCGATGAATTGCAATCTAACTAGAAAACTAATAAACATAAAATACTCAATGAAACACTGATCATAATCAAAACCTCAGACCAACTCTGTGAGGTTATTGCAGAATTTATGTCCTAAAAATAAAAAAGTTGTTTAACAAACTATCATTAAAATATCGACACAATTCACTATATGTTACGAGGGACGAGTGCAGAGAAAGGGACAGCCAGGTGTGCGAGAAAGGATGGAGACGGCACAGCACAAGTTAATGAATCAATAACGTTGGCACTTGTGCACGTGCTTCTCTAACAACTGGCTGTCCCTTTCTCTGCACTCCTCCCTTGTAACAAATGGTGAACTGTGTCAAAATTTTAACGATAGCTTGTTAAACAACTTTTTTAATTTTAGAACATAAATTCTGCAATTTACCTCACAGAGTTGGTCTGATGTTTTGATTATGATCAGCGTTTCACTGAGTATTATATGTTTATTAGTTTTTGAGTTAGATAGCAATTCATCGGTCCGCTTTTGAGCCAAACGGACTATAAACTTCAACTGTATTGCCAATTCTAACATGTATACAGTTTCAAGGATACATCAGAGATTTACATCCCTTTCATGAAAATGTATATCCATTCATAGACATTGGCTGGTCTATAGTAGTGATTAGTGATTGTTGAACTTAGAGGGCTGTGGATACGCTATTTATCTCACATCCTTTATAAACTATCTATATGTACAACCTACAATGCTTTTATACATATATCCTACATGTAGAATAAATTCACTATTAAGTATAGTGGATAGTGGATATATAGTATAGAATTAACATAGTATCAATAAAACCTTTCATTATGCCTCCATTTTCTGTATATCTATCTACCGGTACTATATTTATTTACAATACATCAATTACCTAATGTAAATCTATTATTTTTGATAATTTATTTACTGTATATTCTTAATTTACTGTATATATCAGGGGTGGAAATAACCCATTGCCCGACGCCCGAGTCCAGTGTTTTTTCTGTCGGGCAAGCAAATTTGAATATCACACTGTACCAGTGTCCAGTTGATATTCCAATGTTAATTATGTTGTTTATTTAAAAAATCAACAAGAAAACGGCCGGTATAGTGGAAAAATTATCAGGGCAAGTGATTTAACTTGTGCCACTGTACCAGAGTACACTAGCAATTTTAGAGTTAGTTCCACCCCTGTATATACACTATGGATTTAACCATACTAAACTTGGAATCAAACTTACTGAGTGAGATTTATAATGTTAACTTAAGCAGGCAACCCAGCTCTACATTGAAAACACAGTATGTTTATCTCCATTCTATCATTAACAAATAACATGCATTCTCTTTGGTACTAGCAAATATACTGAGTGAAATGGTATGGATTTGTCCAATGTTTCATGTGGGTGGTCATTCTGAATTATGGAATGACAGGCAACAGACTTCAAACAAAATAAGGTGCTCTAACTCAAGCGGTTTCTTTCACCCTGCAATACGTCACTCGAACATATGACATGATTGAATGGGTTTTTGTTTGTTGTTTACGATGACTCAGCAGTATTCCAGTTACTGAAAGCATTTAGCAAAGCACCTGTGAAAACCAACAGGAAGTGGAAGCCACTTCTTAAAACTAAGCAAGTCTGACACTACCATGTAATTTGATATCTCTGGTGAACCAATTAGAATTGAGATATTCATGTCAGAATACAATATCCACTAGTTACTACATATCAATTAAAGTTTATATTTACAGAAACTGGTTCCAGGCTAAAAACAGTGAACATGAATGACTGTAGTGATGTTTGACTGCGAAGACCTATGACTGTAGTGATGTGAGGCCGAAAACCTGGCAGGGTTTTACCTCGACTAACAAAAATAGGGGCCCTGGGAACCCCTAATCATTAGTTTTAAGTACCAGTGTAACAGTGAAGAGAACTGTACATTTTGATAATTTCTTTATAGCCTGGAATGAATCATTTATCATGTGGACTGATGGATGAAATGATGCACATTACTGCTCTGAAAGAAACAGCCAAACACTTAACAAAGTCACAGATGTGTTGTGGGTACAATTGAATAATTTTGTACGTCCGTCTGGATGCAGTGAATTTTTTTCTGCGGCCATTCTCTACATTTATGCGTAATGGACGCACATTTACACATCGCATAAAACCATGCCTGGGCTAGCTATGAGGTGAAAATGAGAGACAAGAATATGTTTCATTAACATTCAAACATCACTCTTCACTGATATTGCACAGTGCCATAAAAAAATGTACATCAAAATGTTTTCTTTTCATTCTAAATAACAACTATTCAATATTGTCATACAGTACTTATAATATCTCCATTTTCTCATGATTGTCTGTTCTTTATAGCATCTTCTCCATGCTATAACATGTTATAGCCCCTTGTTGTAGTAGAGGACGGATTCGTCAGTCAGACCCTTAAACTTCGGGTTCCAGATCGGATGTGTTCACCTATGTGAGAAATTGAGTGAGTGAGTGAGTGAGTTAATATTTAACGTCACATCGGCAATATTTCAGTCATATCGTGACGAGAACATTTGATATTGAAATGAAATATATGTATATTATAAAAAACCTGCCGACGAAGGACAGTAAAACAACTAGAATATCACAGATATGTATGTAAAACTAGTAATTAAATCTAAAACGTTTTAACTATAGGGGAAAAACAATACAGTATAAAAATGGGCTATAAATCGCCAATAACTGAAGGTAGATCACCATACCAGGGACCATGGGGGTGAGAAATTGAAGATGCAGATAATGCAGTTAACTTTGAAAGCTAAAAACAGGTAAGAACAAAACAACGACTTCATGGAGGTTTTTTTTGTTCTACCAGGAAAACTTACGAATTAATTATGAGGACAGGTTCTCAGCTTTTAACTGCATGAGCAACAGTAGTAATAATACTAGTGCATATTCATAATGCGCACATATCCATGTTGTAAGCATGCTCTTGGCACTAACACATTATCTGCCTGTTATGTGCTAGAAGGTTATAGTCACATGACTTATCCCACCGAGTACCCATTTTCTGCTGGGTGAACAGAGGCAATTTTGAACAAACCTACTTGCCTAAGGTGAGACCATAATTATTCCTTTTTCGTATGAAGTCATGATCAATCAGATCACAGGTGAGAAGTGGCATTGCGAAGGGGTGACCCATCAAAGTGCCCTTACTTTCAATAACTTTTGAGATACCTGCAAGTTTTCTGCCGGGAGCATCAATCTACCCAGTCAGGACACAATGACATACAACAACCAAGTCACAGGTATGAGATGATGAAAACCAATTCTAACCCGGATCTTCATGGCATTGTCATATATTTCGAATCATGCATTGAACATTTTAATTTATGGCCAACCAAATATTTTCTAATTTAAAAACATTTTCATATGAACATATCTGTCTGTATAACAAGTGAGTGAGTGAGTTTAGTTTTTATGCCACACTCAGCAATATTCCAGCTATATGGCGGTGGTCTGTAAATAATCGAGTCTGGACCAGACAATCCGGTGATCAACAGCATGAGCATCGATCTGCGCAATTGGGAACCGATGACACATGTCAACCAAGTCAGCGAGCCTGACCACCCGATCCCGTTAGTCGCCTCTTACGACAAGCATAGTCGCCTTTTGTGGCAAGCATGGGTTGCTGAAGACCTATTCTACCCCGGATCTTCAGGGTCCTGTATAACAAGTGAAAATGAGGTCATGATGTGTATTTACCTGAGACACTTGTGGGAAGAGGGCAATTGCCACAGGAAGCGCGAGACCAAATGCTGCCGTACACACAACTGCATTACAGGGCAAATGCATTCTAGGATACTTCTTTAGGAATTGGGTTCTGTGGAAAAGGCAAATCAAAATATGTAAAATTTCATCCCCTGATGTGATTCAGCTTTCTGAAGTACTTCAACTTCATTTCATACTTCAGGCAACTTATAACCTTAGGAGCATTTAAAAATGTCCTGGACCGCCTCCGTGGTGTAGTGGTTAGAGCGTCCGCCCGGAGAGCGGAAGGTCGTGGGTTCGATCCCCGACCGCGTCAAACCAAAAGATGTTAAAATATGGTACTTGTTGGTCCCTGCCTGGCGCTCGGCATTAATGGGTACAACAAGGACTGGTCGGCTCGGAGTCAGTATAATGTGTCTGAGTGGGGTATTCATGCTTCACTGCGGCATGGTATCTCAGTGGGCTAGCACTATAAAACCAGCTTCAGTCTGGGCTAGTACAAGCAGCCGCACATACACATACACACGCATGCACGTCGTCATATGAGCGAAATATTCTCAAGCACGACGTAAAACCCAATTTCACCTCACCTCACCTAAAAATGTCCTGCTGAACAACGAACTCACTTTTCCAAGACGGACATGATGAGTGGAGGGATGATGAGAATGGGAGCTGGCAGGAACATCCGGGTCATGGCCGTCTCCTTCAAAGCCTGAGGTCAGAGGTCAGGGAACAAGAGTTCAGATGTCATCATTAGGTTGAGTAGAAAGGACTCAAACATAACGATTGCTATTTCTCGACTTTCATAATGAAACTTGGTAGTTTCTTAGTCTGCCACAAATCAAGCTTTCCATTATGCTGTGTACATGAGTTTGGTCAAACACAACTAGGAGCAGCTTTTCGGAGGAAAAAGAGATATGTTGCTGGTCTGAGAAAATGCATCACTTTGGTGAAAATTTTGATAACTGTATACCACGACAAACCCAGAAAGACAACCAGGTCAAATCTGGGATTTGAACACACAACCATGGGACACAACCATGGGACACAACTATGCAAAGTGACTAGTGGTTGCTAAGACAACTGGGCCTAGATTTTCGAAGCTCTCTTAGAGCTAAGATAGTTGTAGGTTAATGTTAATGTATGGCACTAACGACTATCTTAGCACTAAGAGAGCTTCAAAAATCTAGACCCTGGGCCTCATCAATCCCAAGGCATAAATAGACCTTGACCATGTGTTTTAGCCTATCACTGGCGGGACTAGCTGGAAACATGGGTTCTTCAACATAGATACTACTTACAGTTTGTACAGATTCAATATACATAGTGTTCAGCATACAATGACAATATAAATGATCATGTCCTTGACTAGTATACTTCACTCAAAATCTCACAACTTCAGTACCCTGCTGTAAGGATCATAGGTATTATATTTATCATCCAAAACTGTGTTCCACAGTAGATATCGCTCCTAGGAGATATCGTTTCGACAGTAGATTTTGTACAATGCCCTGACAATGCTATGACGTCATGAACTTGTTGACGTCACAATGTTATGACATCGCTGCACTGCAAATCTAATGGCAGTACTGTGTTCAGAGATGTACAATTTTCATTGAAAACTAATGAAGAGTGATTTTTGATGATAAATAGAATCTCACCCGAGTGTCTTTTGATTTCAAATATATCACCACGAGTTGATAAAGTAACAAATATCCGAGGCTTGCCGAGGATATTTTTACTTTTATCAACGAGTGTTGATATATTTGATATCAGAAGACATGAGGATTCTCTATTTACCATCATATCACTGAAAATGCTACTTTTTCAAAGCAAAGGTGAATCATTCAATATCTTGACCTACTTTTCTGGCAGCAATCTTGGATGTTCCGACCATCTTCTCATTCTGGTCAAACACCTCAATACCTTCTGACAACTCAAAGTTTCTCATGAGGAGAACATTGCAGGTGCTTGCTGTGGCTGATTAATAAATGAAAAGGAAATGTTCCAACAGCGAAAATATACAAAGTCAAATCAGGATTGGACCAGAAAGAAATATGACAGTTTTACTGCAGTCAATAATAAATTGGGAAATGTGTCAATAAAAAGATCTTCACAGTTAAGAACTACTGATGATCAACACATCAGACAAATCTTTCCTACTGCTTGGACTGACTGCCTGACTGAGTTTGGTTTTTACGCCGCTTTTAGCAATATTCCAGCAACATCATGGCGGGGGACACCAGAAATGGCCTTCACACAATGCACCCATGTGGGGATTCGAACCCGGGTCTTCGGCGTGACAAGCCAACGCTTTAACCACTAGGCTACCCCACCGCCCCGCTACTGCTTGGAAGGAAGTACACTTTGGTATCAGCACATCAGACACACCATGGTCTACTGTTGCAGTCAAATTAATATTATACAGTTAAGAAGTTATGTTTAGATAGAGATCATGTGATCTGGGGTAAATCACATGACTGTTATAGGGGATATAACTAAAAACAGCAGCAGAATGAAAGGTCAGGCAGTCAGTGAGCACATCGTGTCCTACAGTCTTTCAACCAGCAGTGGCGGCAGAAACAGTTTGTATTCAGATAACACATAATAAAAAACATTCTGTGTTGGCACAGTATGTTTTATGAGGGAACGTTAATACAGATATCTGCAGCGGTGACACCTACCTACAGCTGGGAAGGGAATAAACTTCTGTATCATCATTTTCGTTGCTGGGCTGAAATTCTGTGCTTTCTTGATCAAAATATTGAGACCTACCTGGAGATACAACAAAAAAGCATGATCACACATATCAGAAGATATACCAAATTGTTATAGGTGAGGTGAAATTGGGTTTTACGTCGTGCTTGAGAATATTTCACTCATATGACGACGTGCATGTGTGTGTTTGTGTATGTGCGGCTGCTTGTACTAGCCCAGACTGAAGCTGGTTTTATAGTGCTAGCCCACTGAGATACCATGCCGCAGTGAAGCATGAATACCCCACTCAGACACATTATACTGACTCCGAGCCGACCAGTCCTTGATGTACCCATGGCCGAGCGCCAGGCAGGGACCAACAAGTACCATGTATTAACGTCTTTTGGAATGACGCGGTCGGGGATCGAACCCGCTACCTTTCGCTCTGCGGGCGGACGCTCTAACCACTACACCACGGAGGCGGTCCAAATTGTTATAGGTTTATGCGAGTAAAAAGCCCAAAGTGCTGAAGACTCAGATGTTTGCCACTTTGTGAAACCCACAACCATGGGTGTCATACTGACAAACCTGGAAACGTACCGTAATTGGCGCCAACTGGGATTTGAACCCCTGATCATAGGTTTCTGGTATGGAAACAGCAAAAACTTGGCACTGACAGTATATTTTCCCTGATATATTATTTACATTCACCTCATAAAGATATCAGAACATGCTGAATCAATGTATTATTTTTCCTGATACAGGAAATGTGGTTTACAGGAATTTCTTACAGCGATGGAGACTGCACTAGAGACAGCACCAAAGTAGCCCATGAGGAACCTGGACATGGGAGTCTCCTGAAACAGTTAACATTTATCCTGGAAAGATGTGAACATCTGTTATTTTTCTTGAAAGGAAAGAAACAATTTATACACATTGAAATGATATTCATATAGTTATTCTGTTGTTTATAATGCAAATAAACCTTTTACAAAAAAAAGAAAAAGAAATTCTAACACTTGAAAAACCAAAATAAATATGAACACTATTGACAAATCAAGTCTTGTAACAGTTGATCAATGCTCTATGAAAAGGCAACCCAGCGGGCACACAACGTTGAATCAACGTTGAATTTTGGTTGTTTGGTTGATCAACCTTTCATAAACGTTGATTCAATGTTTATCATGCGACCAAAGAAAGTTAGTCGAGATTCGTTTAGTTGTAACGTTGTTTCAACGTAAGGAACCAACAAAATGTCAACTAATTGTTTCCTTGGCAAATTTGATACATAATTCATATTGGTAATAGGTATCCAACTTAGCAACTATCATTTCGGAACATTATGTTCATAAAAGATCAAGATCGAGCTAGTGACAGATATAATCTTATATATTATTTGATTCCCGGCAACTTCGGTCGGACGCATAGCGAAATCCACTGGAATTCGGAGTGTCACACTTCACTGGCGTAATTACTCGTGAGAGTAGAGGACAGTAAGTGTGAATGTCGAACACCTCTGCAGCACCATATTCGGATGCCTTGGTATGGAAGCCAAGTGAAGTAGTTCTTAAACCCATAACTTGAGAACAATGATTGAGATCCTGTTCAACTTTGTTCTGTATGTAGAAAAGAAGCAGGTAAAGGCAAAAGCAGAACTGTCCCTCAACTCGTTGATGGGCTGATGTAAACTGCTGAGGTCGAACTAGTGTAGTTCCAGGACATCTGTGACAGACAGGTCTACGCAGAAGTTAATGTGAAGTGAAGACTATAGCTGAATGCCAGAAGCAACCTTCCATGAGAGCGGTCAAAGGAGCAGTTGCTATTGTCGAGGCTAATGCAAAGAGTCTCATGAGGACTGGCGGCGGCAGCCCTACAAAGTGGAGGCTCACAGGATCGGGCCATGCATTCCAGAAAGCCAATGTGGCAGGAAACCTCAGATCTGGAAGCGGCCGACAAGGGTATGAAGAAGGCGCTTTCATAGCCATCGATGATCCTTGGAGGCAGCAAGGTAAAGGTGTAGAAACCCTATACTTGGGGCAGAGTGTCAAGTCTTCAGTATCATCAGGCCCAAAGATGGACAACGGGGGAATGGTAAACATCCGGTCCGGTTGCCCTGGCAGTTGGTTTTTCACGATGAAGCCCCAGTGGAGACCCAGGAAAAAAAGCTTCGCCATGCTTCTTCTGCTTTCGAACCGCCGCGCAATTGACAACAAGTGCGTGAAGCTCAAGATATCTACGAGCAGCAGTAGCCATGCTACCAGGAAGAAGAATGTCACTTCACTTCGAAGTCCCTGTCTTCTAAAGGTGTGTAGTCTGTAGAATCAAATGACAAAGGACAAGGACAGTTCCCAGGCCAGAAGTCTGAACTTCCTGGACTGGATGGTGGTTGTAGAAGTGAAGAAAACTCTGCAATTCTGGAAGAGTGAAGATCTTCGTACCCGTGTTAGTAGCCAAAACCGAGTTGTTAGCAGCCAGTTAGGTAGCTAACGTAGTACCTTTGAGTTCCTAGTAGCACGGAGATGCTGCAGGAACGCAGAAACGACCTGAGTAGAGGCAGATTGGGACATGGATTTCCCCAATGTTACAACAGCCTTCAAACTTCTTCCACTATCGTCGTAGAAAGAGCGGATCGAAATACGATGAATTGAAGTGATAGCTGTGGCAACTTGACGAGAGTAGCCTGAGCTATGAGTAATCTCTGGAGAGTGAGTGAGTGAGTTTGGTTTAACGCCGCTTTTAGCAATATTCCAACAATATCACGGCGGGGGACACCAGAAATGAAATCTCTGGAGATGCACCAAGTGTAGATTAAGGGTCTGAGAGGACCAGTGGCAAAGTTCCGGGTGAGGGTGAAAAGCAGGATGCCCCGGTCAGGAAGTGGTACTGGGTTTGGCTCTGCCAGGTTTGTTAGTTCAACAAACTAACTTCTCGCTGGTCAGGACTTAGTGCATGACCAAAAGCAGTAGAATCTTGCTGGTGGTCAACAGCTTCTGTATCACAGATGAACACCAGAAATGGGCTTCACACATTAAACCCATGTGGGGATTCGAACCTGGGTCTTCGACGTGACGGGTTCGGGAAGATGAATCAGTTCCTTGGGATTGTCTGCCTAAAGATACAGGCACAAAAAAAGCTGTAACGGCTGAAGCTGAATTCTGTATGTTAGGGCTTGATCTGATGTCAGAAAGCCTAGTAGCTCCTGCCACTGAGATAGCAGTGATGTAGGGATATCTGATGTACTGATGCCACTGAGATAGCACTGATGTAGGGATATCTCTCCTGAGATAGGAACGTTAATTAGTGAAGCTACCACGGCAATACTGACCGAGTGCTGAATGTAGTAGAGTCGGCGCATAGAAATTGTCAATCAATCTAACGGAACATTCACACTGTGCACGGAGTGATGAAGGTCATAAAATCAGTGATCTCAGGAACGTTGGTTCGCTAAATGAAGTATTGTTCCGTCAGATGGAGGGATAAAGTTAGTAGATTCGACGCATGGAGATCGTCGATCTACCGAAACAGTCGTAAAATCGCTGTAATGACGAAGGTAAAAAAGCCTGGCGACGTCAGGGAATGTTCGTCAGGGAAGGTTCGTCTGGGACACGAAGGCAGTAAAATATGTGCCTGGGGACCATGCGAGCAGAACTGCAATGACCTCTGAACTGAGGGCTTGGGCTAAAGTCTCTCTCGGCTGGCTGACGAATCCCGACATAATCACTCTTACCGGGAATGGCACTGTTCATCGTCACTGGCAATAAAAGGCTGTGATTGTTATCCGCTTGCAGGACCTAGATAGAGCTGTCAGTGTACTTCATAGTGACTCTAAATATCATAATTCTCCGGTAAACAAGGGGTAGTCCGCCATTTGCAAATGGTACCCACAATGCAACAGTGACAAACATCCGGACAACACGGTTCGGTGAACCGTGCGAGGCAATAACTCCGTAACATCCCGGACAAAGGGGATGATAGCTACTTGACAAGACATCAGTACTGGTACCATGAGCAGAAATCTTGACCCATCTGTCCAGAGGCTTGCTGATGTAGAGGGAAGGGTGATGAAGATGACAAAGCAGGCCATGATTTCACCATAACGCTGTTACGAGTAGTTTGTAGTAACAGGTCTCAGTTAAAAGCCGGAAAATTCCTGGATAGCAAGCCTGTCTAGTAGCGCATTGGTGAGTGGTTGTGGAGCTGATATTCACGCCGGCGGTAGATTTCTAAACCAAATCATTCATCAAGGTGAAGATCGGAAGGTAGACAACCGAATGATATGAGCTCTGGTCACGAAGTCTAAGTCTGGGGGATCGGGGGATCGTCAGAGCGTCAAGTGCTGGCGTTATCTAAATGTCTGCGCTATTGACATAGCTACTTCATCTGTTTAATCAGCATAAAGCAAGGGTACCAGGTGGGATAGTCATGTGACTAAAATCTTCTAGCTTCACATGCCATAGGGTGATCCGAGAGCCAAGTCTAATGGTCATGCTGAGAGCATGCCACCCGTAAGGTTGAGGAAATCAGTGTATCACAAATGCCATGAATGTTAACATCGTGTTGAAAGCTGGTAGAATATAATTAACAGCTGGTATAATTGACCGTATCTAGACGCAAGGTCATGATCCTCGATGAGCATGTAAAAAAACAGTGTTGACAAGTTCCGATCCGTCAAGTTGAATGTAGTAAGTAGTTCATCTGGTATCTTGCTCAAGATAGTTGTAGATGAGTGAGTGAGTGAGTATAATCTTACGCCGGATAGCTGTAGCTGATCAAGTGACCATGTGTGTCGACTGAACCAGCATTATTGCTGTAACTTAAAGGCGGAATGGTTCGGCAATGCTGGCAATTCGGTGAATACTGATGGTTCGGCGAAGACTGTTGCTGATTCCAAGCAGTAGTAAATAGCACTCAACATCGCAGCCAGATCTGGGGGAGGAGTAGTTTCCTACGCAGGAGTCCAGGAATCTGGTACAAACTGAGTAGACTCGAGACGTGCGAGGAGGCAGGAGCCCTGTCAGAAGTCGTAGCACGCTGATATCTATAATCGGAGCCCCGTTGAGTAGATCCATATTGATGTCTGGAGGGGAACGAGCCGGAAGAAGACGCACATATGGAGACCCGATGAGAAATTCTGGGACAAGGAGGGGAAGTACCACAACGAGAATGATGATCCCTGGATCTTGAACCATAGGCAGCAGTCGATCATGTACAGGAGATCTAGGTTGACGGGTCGAGTGCATAGACGAGGAAGTCCCATGCTGACGAGAAGACGAAGTCCGAGGAGGTGACTTCGATCGAAGAACCGATCTCAACGAAGTAGATGGAGGCGTTGCTGAGTTGAATTCAAACGGGTTGAAGAGTGGCGTCCCGGCGGTGAAGTAGATTTACCAGGTGTATCAGGTGAACAAATCCCAAGGATAATAGGAGCCTGGTCCAAACGACTCGGTGAAAACTGTGTCCGTGCTGAGGAGACATGACTGTAGGATCCAGCAGAGTTCCGGGAAGTACACAGATGATCCAGAGAAGGGCGTTCCGTTGAATACCGCTTGGAAGAAAGACGTATCGGCGAAAGTCGGTTCATCACATGTCGTTCCAGTGAAGTCTGTTGAGAAGACGATCGATCCGGAGAACACTGAAGCGTAGACTGGCCTTTTGATGAAGACTGGTTCGGCGAAAGCTGTTTCGTAGAGAGCCGGTCTAATTCTGGGGAAGGTGGACAGTCCGGCGAAAGTCGATGTGGAGGGGAGTGGACAGGAGAAGCGTGATCCGGCGAACTGTGATTCGATCTGGCAGTCTGCAGCGAAGCAGAAGATCGAGGTAGCTGGACGCAAGACACACTTCTTTCCGCCGAATGGGAAGAAGACGGTGAAATAACCACTGACAAGCGTTGAGGCGAGGTAGACTGGTTCCTCTCACTAATGGATGAACGACAAGAGTGAGAGCGGCTTCTGCGCAGTCAGGTGTAGCGATCAGGTGATTCTTGTCCAGGTTGATAAGCCAGGTTGCCAAGATAACTGGTCTGGTGAACGAGAGACAGAGAACGTGGTTCGAAGGTCCCGCTGTGTAGAGGTCTCCTGAGGGGTGGTGGCGGTCTACCCAAGACGTGGTCGAAGATGAAGTGACTCGGGCTGGAATGTTGAGAGCTCAGCCGAATGTCTTCCAATAAGTAAGAATCTGACGACGCTCTCATGAAATCCTCTTCATTCAGTGAGGGGACTGTGACTGCCGAGCAGACAAAGTAGGACGCTAAAACTTTCTTTCTTGGAGGGACTGGGTCCGTCAAGTGAAGCGGCATAACGAGCCCTGTCAGCAACACGACGAGCGCAAACCCGAGTGTAGTCACCAAGTAAGAACCTTGCAATTATCGCAACGAGAGTCCCATTTACAGTGTCCCATACAGTCAATACAATATCCATGTGGATCACACACGGAGAACGCTTATTACACCAGGAGCATTTTCCCTCTTCTATGGCTGGTCAACTTTCCCCATGTTGTAGACAAAGTCGAAAACGTTGAGCAAAGTAACATACGTCCACACTCGTGTGCGCGACAAGAAAGAGAATGATGATTCGGAGATAGTCACGTGGGCAGCTAGTGGTGCATGCCGCATGCTTTGCATGAGAGCTAGGAAGCTGTCTTATAATGAGGGAAGCATGGAGTGCATGGGCGGATGGACAAGAGAGGCCTAAGGAAAAAAGTTTACATCGTTCCACTCAGTGTCGAATCAAGAGAGCGAAGTGCATACCGTGAGATTGGATAAGTTTAAAAATAAACCTTTTAAAAAAAAAAAGAAATTCTAACACTTGAAAAAGTAAAATACATATGAACACTATTGTCTTGTAACAGTTGATCAATGCTCTATGAAAAGGCAAATAACATATAAAAATGTATTTGAGTTCTTTCAAACGTTTACCTTTGTTGCATTCCTGTTTGCGTAGTTGACACAAGCATTGTGACTCTGGTTAATCCACTGCCAGAATACTGTCTGGACCATGCTAGGATTGGGCAGCAAAAGACCTACCACCTAAGTGAATAATGAAAACAACAGTATTTGTTAGGGGAACAGTACCACCTACATGACTAACAACACTATTTGTTAGGGGAACAGTACCACCTACATGAATAACAACACTATTTGTTTGGGGAACAGTACCACCTTCATGAAAAACAACACTATTTGTTAGGAGAACAGTACCACCTACATAAATAACATCAGTATTTGTTAGGGGAGAGTAGTACAGACAGAGTACCGTTCAGAACATGCTAGTGTTGGACAGTAGATGGCCTACCACCTACATGAATAACAAGACTATTTGTTAGGGGAGTAATACTGACACAATATTGTCTGGAACATGTTAGTGTTGGACAGTAGACGGCCTACCACCTACATGAATAACAAGACTATTTGTTAGGGTTGGAACAGTAATACTGACACACCTACATGTCTGGAACATGTTAGTGTTGGGCAGTAGATGGCCTACCACCTACATGAATAACAAGACTATTTGTTAGGGGAGTAATACTGACACAATATTGTCTTGAACATGCTAGTGTTGGACAGTAGATGGCCTACCACCTACATGAATAACAAGACTATTTGTTAGGGGAGTAATACTGACACAATATTGTCTGGAACATGTTAGTGTTGGGCAGTAGACGGCCTACAACTTACACATGTAACAACACTATTTCTTATTTAAAAAGCACTGCATCAATGCTTTCTGGATCAAAGCTGGGTTGAATTACACATATCTCAAGTTTTCAAAGGTATTTTACTGACTTGACACAGCAAAACAATTCAGCAACAAGATTTTGCAGACATACCTCTGTGACATCATAGCCTAACTACAAATAAAGTTTCATGATCATACAATTCCCTCTGTATCATGATAGGACTAAATCAACCCTCCTTCATGGATTTACACAGTGTACACACGTGTGTTTTTATTATTATACCTCCATTAATGAAAAAAACTATTTAAGTTCTTTCTAAGAGAAATAGTCACAGTTTCAGTTATTTAATTGATTAACTTACAATGGGAGCACCAAATGGGACGAATCCTGAAATACAATACAAAACATTATTGACTTAATATTGTTTTAACTATAACACTGACTGACTGACTGAGTTTGGCTTTACGCCGCTTTTAGCAATATTCCAGCAACATCACGGCGGGGAACACCAAAAATGGGCTTCACACTTTGTACCCATGTGGGGATTCGAACCCGGGGCTTCAGCGTGGAGAGACAAAGCTTTAACCACTAGGCTACCCCATTGCCCCTTTAACTATAACAAAACATGTTGATATATTGAACCAGTTATCACCATGATCACTCAGGTTATATCACAGACTTATGGAAACTACATGTTAGTAAGTATCAGTCTCTTTTAATAGGTCTTGTGGTCATGGTAACCATGAGCGTTAACCTTGACCATTGACTCAACCTGACCAGAACCTTTCCAAAGGAGATCGCCAGTTCTGAGGATGTATGTACATGCACAGATATTTTATTGATAGTTTGCGATCAATGTGACCTTGACCTTTTAGCAATATTCTAGCAATATCATGGTGGGGGGACACCAGAAATGGGCTTCACACATTGTACCCATGTGAGGAATCGAACCTGGGTCTATGCTACCCCAACGCCCCTGTGGAAGCATGAAACATCCATAAAGGTAAAGTTTCATTTTGTATTGTAAAGTGTGTGCTTGCCTAGATTTTATTCTCCTGTGTGGATCTCTGACTTACCTGACACGGAATGGCATGAAGATCTTCTCCCCTGTGTCTGGGTGGATCATGGACTGAAGTCAAAACAAACTAAATCAGATTCATGGACACTTTCCCCATTGTTTGACCTGAAGCGTTGCAGACGTCCATGTTATTTCATTGAAACATCAGAAATTGTTATGTTATGTAGAGGAATGCACACGCTCAGCACAGACATGATGGATATTCTCTCAACATCACAGAATGTGAGTATAATTTGCATTCTTGTCTGGGCAGAAATTAAGTGAAGGTTTTATACTAAACATGAGAATTTAAAGAATATCTTTACCTATGATAGATGAAAGGATATATAAAGTAACCATGCCTCAGAAACTATCAATGATATACCATGTTTCAGACTTCAATGCTGACCTTGATCTTTGATTATTCTTGATGAATTCAATTACAAAGTAAGGTTCAATCACAGGGAAGGTACATACTAACTTCAATTATCATTGGAGCAAGTATAATCAGAAACATTTGTTATTTTTTCATCTTGTGACCTTGACCTTTTCATGGACTCCTATTAGGGGTGGGTATTGCAGAGAATTTTCATATTGCGATATATTGCGATGCGGAAGCATATATTGCGATATGTATTGCAATATATTGCAAGGATTATTTTTTTAACAAAACTACTTATAATCGAGTTAATGTTTGATTATAAAGCAAAAACACAACAAAATCACTATGATTGATTAACCTTTTATAAAAACTTTTAATCATGACAAAATAAAAATGTAAGTAACATTTGGCACTAATGAAACAGGGAAAAGAACTATTCAAAAAACGGAAATATCCAAAGATTTCCGAGTGTTACGAAGTTTTCCGAATGCATGTCAAAATACCGGTTTTCGATCAGCGTATCTCAATACGTATCGTTTTCATGTCTGAACTGGTAAATACCGGTAAACCGGTTATATTTTGCAGCCCTAACTCCTATGGATTACCTGCTTTATCTTCTGTGCATCCCACAACTGCTTGTCTGTAGTGGAGGGCTCAAGGCGGCCATGTTTGAAGTCATCCAGCAGTCTTTTAGAAGCCTGCAGCTTTGCCTTGAGGGATGAGATTATGAAAACACATGCATAAAAATACACTCGAATTGGGCATTTCTGTTTTCTAGAACATACATGCTATGGTAGTTTTTAATTCTAAGAATGCCAAGCACAGACCATGCTGCTATCCCATGTGTTCAACACCGACAGTATCCGCTCATTCAGACACTGAGTATGTCTCATTTAATGATTCACACGGTATTAAGTTATATAGAACACTGATACCCACCTCTGTAGTAAACAGCGTGCGTGGATCTATTACATCGATGAAGTGCCGCAGTCGACCATGAAAATTGCCCTGTATACAAAAATAAGATAACAGATTAAATACAGTCTAAATGCACAGAACATTTTGGCTTATACATTGCATGTAGGAATCTGAGTGTGTGGTGTGTTTTTGCATGTGCAAGTCTGGACCAGACAATCCAGTGATCAACAGCATGAGCAATCTACGCAATTGGGATACGATGACGTGTGTCAACCAAGTCATCGAGCCTGACCAACCAATCCCGGGGAATTTTAGGCATTTTAATTATCACAGATGTAATTTTTATTCTAATAATTTCAATGACTATTTTCAGATGCTTATCTGAGGAGTGTACACTATCCATGTCAAAATGTGTAGAAAACATTTGGAGGTACTGTGTGTGTGAAAATTGATGTGTGTGCTTGTGTGTTGTGATCTACCTTGTGCAGGGGAGGGACGCACCAGCAACGGTTTATCATGCTTATGTATGCTCTTATTGGCTGGATGTTTAGTAAAAGCACTGTGCACAAACAAGATTAATATTTAACATATGTTATACATGTAGTTAGGATTACACTTTACTGAGAAAGTGTGATTCTAGTTTTGTAGGGATTGATCCAAACCTCCACACTGAGAGTGAGACAAAGTCAGCAATCTAACCCACTCAGCCACCGAGGGTTCCACATAAAGGAAGCTAATAAATGGTTGTCCAGATCATGTACTTTGTTTACCCATCTAACAATACCTTTATTTAAGTGAAATATAATCAACAGGATCATGCAAGTTCAGTAGTGATATATTAGTTCAAATCTGAAGAGAATTACTGCTCACTATAGCTTGTATATCATGATTTGTTCTAGATCTGCCAGGGCGGTGGGGTAGCCTAGTGGTTAGCGTTTGCTTGTCATGCCGAAGACTCGGGTTTGATTCCCCACATGGGTACAATGTGTGAAGCCCATTTCTGGTGTCCCTGCCATGATATTGCTGGAATATTGCTAAAAGCGATGTAAAACCATACTCACTCACTCACTGTACCTGGAATGAACCCAGTTTATACCCATACTAACTTTAACTTGTATATTGCACGTTAAATGATCTAAACAACTCACTCACTCACTCTAGATCTGCACTGACAAAACCCCACTACAGCAGCTCCACAACACAACAGACACTGGCTTAACTAGACTTGCACAAGTCTCTAAGGTAATAACTAATAGCTTAAATCATAATTTCCATGAAATATGAATAAAAAGAACACATTGGTCTGCTTATCAAGACTAGCCAGTCTTTAAAGGATAGAATAACAATACATCAATGAGCTTAATTAGCACTCAGTGCAGACTTGGAGCAAGGCTATGGCTGAACTGTCTCCATCATCTATAACCAAACATAGGGGGTGGCTGACTTACATAGGTCAACAGCATTATCTGTGACAGGGGAAGGGGGGTTGAGGTGGACGTTGTGGTGATGAGAGGTCACTTTCCCAGCAATATTGGCCAGATGACCCAAATGTAGTCTGTCATACAGACCCTGAAGCAAATATATCCAAGAAAGCCCATGCAAGTCTACAAAATGTGGCAAGTCTAGATTTCCACAGTTTCAGCTTCTGAAAATGAAGAAAGTCTCAGGGCTCCTTTTCATTATATATATTTTTTAACAATCAACTTTCTTTCTGTAAAATATGTTCATTTCAGAGACTAATTGTTAGTCTAACCCAATTGGAACAAAAGTGCTCCAGCTAACATAGTTTTGGCCCTGGATGACACTGTTGTAAGTGACCAGCTCATCTCACCGAGTAGTCAACTGAGTGTGAGATCTGGTGACAGTCACAGCAGGGCATTATGTTTTCAACTATGAGGAAATCAGTACAGATTCTTACTCTGCTATGGAACAAACTATGTCTTTCTAAAACATGGCACTTGGTGTCAGGAGACTGTAAGGCCTTGAGATCTTTAAATACAAAACTATAACTCAAGTCTGTGGAGCTGCCTTGGATATGAACTAAATCTGTTCATCTGGAATTACTGATGGCTGCCAACATAATGATGCTTCCTCAATCAAATCAACTTCATGCACACAGCATAACACCCATTTCATAACCAATGTACTGGCAAAGAAGGATAAGTTGAGCACCGACCTGACAATTGACCAGTATTAGCATGTATGAGTGCCGCCCACTGGAACTTGCCATTGTTAGCGAAGGGTCCCCAGGTTGTCCGCGATCAAGTGTAGTGCGACTTGCTACACCAGCGTGAGAGTCTTATGAGCAAGCCGTGTGCAGCTCCGCGCGGAATCAATTCCATCGTCATGCAATGCATGTGCACTAGCCTACATCTGCTCTACCTTTCACAAACCAAATGGGTTAGCTCAATGCCGTGTACCGCCTACTTCTCATAAACACGTTCTCTGCGCCGGTCCAACTTATCCTTGTTTGCCAGTAACTGACACAACAGTTGATGCTGAAGTTGATGGTGAGGCAAGCAAAACTTGGCAACTTTGGAGACACTGGGTGTACCTGATCTTGAGCAATCTCTGGCAGAGCCATGTTTCCAATATTGTACCAAAAGTTGTGCTATGAGCAATGATGAAACACCTTCCGTCTCATTTTTGCAATTCAGCAGGTTCAAAGTCTACCAATAGTGTTATTTTACATGTATATTCAATCTTGGTATGACTATCTGTACTATGACTATATATCAAATTTCACTTCATAAACTGATTTGTGAACATGATACATAAACTTGCCAAACTTGTCACAAAACAAGGTGTGACAACCACATTTTTATTGCAAATATTGGGATCATGTAGCATGATGGTAATATGCTTCACTCAGGATCACTTTTAATACAGACATTGTACAGGTGAGGTGAGGTGAAATTGGGTTTTACGTTGTGCTTGAGAATATTTCGCTCATATGACGACGTGCATGTGTGTGTATGTGTATGTGCGGCTGCTTGTACTAGCCCAGACTGAAGCTGGTTTTATAGTGCTAGCCCACTGAGATACCATGCCGCAGTGAAGCATGAATACCCCACTCAGACACATTATACTGACTCCGAGCCGACCAGTCCTTGTTGTACCCATTAATGCCGAGCGCCAGGCAGGGACCAACAAGTACCATATTTTAACGTCTTTTGGTATGACGCGGTCGGGGATCGAACCAGCGACCTTCCGCTCTCCAGGCGGACGCTCTAACCACTACACTACGGAGGCGGGTACAGACATTGTAGGGAGAGAAGCATACATTTTGAAGGTTTATATGGGGGATCGCCCTATTCATGGGGTTGGCTGTTGCTGTATAAACAGCGATATAAGTTATTATAACAGAAAATCATATAGTGGAAGTATATATAGGGGATCGTAAAAAATCCACTTTGTCTCCTGAAAAAGATACATGTAAAACACTAACTGCAATGGCAACCATCCACCAATCAGTTGTATAGTTGATATACAGGGTGGTATATAAATACATAAATAACAATCAATCGACACAAATGTTCACGGACACCTTACAACATATTAACATTGTAATGTTTTATTAAACACTAGGGTCAAATAAAAATCACTTTCATTACTTTCAGAAGTGTTTGTAAACAAAAGTAGAGCACCTCGAGCTAATATGAGCGAACACAGCAACCAGTATAGTGCTAAGTTATTCTGATGCTATGAAGTTTGCTTGAATGTATGCAATATAGGTCAGCCTGAGTCAGACAGATAGCTTCTTCATTATGGGAACTGCAGGCCTGGTGAGCTGGCAACTGTCAAGGGTCATATGATACCGTACATATCCTTGTAAACTTGTAAATACATGTACTTGTAAATGACTGAGTGAGTGAGTGAGTTACGCAGACATATGCCAGCGGTCTGTAAATAATTGATTCTGGACCTGACAATCCAGTGATGAATGGCATTAGAATTGATCTCCGCAGTTCTGATACGATGATATGAGTCAACCAAGTCAGTACATGTGTCTGACCACCTGATCCTGTTAGTCGCCCCTTATGTCAGACCTAAGTCACAACTTATGTTTGATAATCTGAACACATGTGCTAGCTCAGTAAACGGAAACTGTTTTCACATTATTCATTGGTAATTAGGTTAGATTACACTATTTACACGATTTCCAAGTCTTGGAGCATTCAATAAGTCATTTATTTGATAATTTATTAATAGTTCTATACATATTGGCAAGATATGAAATGTAAGGTAAAGCACAGAGCACTGTCTAGAATGTGTATAGCTTGCAAAGCACTTTGACATGGTGGTACATAATTCATATGTTAGAACTTAAACAAAGCCATGTTTTAAATTCTATTGAGTCTATGAATTAGAGTCATAGTGCCAGAGAAGAAATCTTAATTACATAAACCAAATACGCAAAGATGTCAGTACCTATTAATCAATAAAAACATGACAATAAAAAAATCTTAATTTATAATAAATTCAAGATTCTATCCCCAATTTAAACAGTGATTTCACTGGTGAGAGGAAAAGTAAGTTGTGAGTAACAAGTTAGTGGCTTCAGTAATGTCAATACTTACATTTTTTAAGTTAGTAGATGAACTATATATTAAAGCACTAATTAATTTATGAAAATATAAACCTAACAAAATTTTACTTTGAAACAAATTCAAGATTTTATCCCCAATATTAATAGTGAGAAAGGGCATTTAGTTCCATATCCTGAATGAGTGATTCCAAATTCAACATTGCATGGTTGATTCTACAGGTATGTAATCCTTATCTACACTCCATATTATTATTATTATAGGATATTATATAGCGCACATATCCAGGCAACTAGTGCATGCTCAAGGCGCCAGTAAGTGAGTAAGTTATGAAATGCTGTTGTTTTACTCCTGGTCTTTCAACCTCACTCCAATCATTTCAACTTTCTAAACATATTTACAGGATACGATGATATAAACACAAACAATATCTGCACAAAATGTTGTGAGTGATAGTCACTTGTGTATTCGGTGAATTCAACTGTATCCCTTCATGAATTCAATTTATTATTCATAATCAGAAGAATCGAATATTTATGCATGTACTAAATAGTGTGTTTTCACTTGGAACTAGTTTGTTGTTTATCTAAGTGAGATATGCAAAATGTAATCCAAGCTATGCAGTAGTGTAATTTGTGTTATCTTTAGAGGCTACAATAAGTGGCATTGTTGCAATTAGTGTTTCTTTCTTGTTTAGAGAAAACATAATCTAAATTTATAATTTCATATCCCTCATGTTAATTCCTAGATATTAACAATAAAGTATTCATGAATACATATTTGTTACACTATATTCATAAGACATATCGTATTTGCCTCATAGTATGTTCATTTGCCTCATAGTATGTTCATTATAGCCCTTTTGAGTGAGTGAGGGAATATTGCTTAATGATGCATCAGCAATTTTGCAGCTGCTCACAGCACAAACAATGGTGGCTGTCATAAAAGGTTGTCATGATTATTGAATTTAAACAGTGGGTAGGTAGAATGCAGTCAATAAACATGTTTATTGTATGTATGAAATGCTCTGCTTTCAAGATTACTGAACTTATCTTGTGATATTACGGAAGTGGTAGGATATAGTCAATACCCATGATTATTGTATCTAGGAAAAGCTCTGCTGTCAAGATTAGTGAACAGAGTTGTTACACAAGAGTGTAATTAGGAGACAGTCAATTAATATTTATTGCATCTATCAAGTGCTCTGCTTTGACTCCTCTCCCCTCACTCCACGAAAAATGACAGCTCCAATAGCAGTAATTCAATTTTAAAGTAGGTCAGGTAAGTGAGCTTTTGAAAGAAAAAATATCACAGCAGGGGTAAACTGTGAGGATTAAGGTCAGAAGTGGTTGATATCTATTTTTCATATCATTATGTTTCTGTTGGTGTACAATGAGAATGAGGACAACATGTAAAATTCCAGAATTAACCCCGTGAAATAGACAGCTGAGAGAAAAAAAACTGCTGAGTCATGAAAATATATTTTGACAACACTGACCTAAATAGTCAAGAGTATGTAATGGTACGCTTGAGGGTATGACAACTTTCCAATAATTGCACATATTAACACTAAGAGACCGTTCATAATTTATGGCTTGGGATGGGATGTGGGGTGTGGTGTGTGATGATGATTTTAAGCGGGGGTCATCAATTTTGTTCATACATATTAGAGGGATCAGCAATTTTGTACATGAAAATATTAAAAAATTATGCTTAAAATTATGGGAGGAGGGGCATCATTGATATTGTACATGACATGCAGGCGGGTCGCTTTTTTTTGTACATAAAACTTGGGGGTGCATTCACATTGTACATGCTTCTCCAAAAATCCATCTGTTAAACTAAAGTATACTGATGTATGGTAGAAAATGTAGAAACCTAAATACAAAACAATATACCGGGTATATACCTGTGGCCTGAATACACCCTCTCACATATTAACACTATCTGTCCATTCAGGACGGATAATCCATAAGTCTTTGTAGCTTCTTGGGTTTACTCTAAATATGCTCTGCTCAAGATAATTCTGCAAAGGAGCAAGGTCATCCCAAACTGGTATTGTGTTGGTTGTAGCTAGTTTGAACTAAGTTTTATCATTATATGTTTTGTGAAATGATGATAAGCCATATCTCCCTAAACATTAATACTGATACACCATTGTGCCATAAGTTCAAATTAGGTCACAATAAAATGACATCACAAATATATCTGAAACTGGTCAATTCTAGTTTTTTCACTCAACAAACCAGTTTTTGCTTTTCAAAAACTAAAAAGATATATAGTAGAAAGAATGACTTAAGATGATGAATTGAATATATTCCCATAAATTGTCTCTTTTTGCATGGATCAAGCATATCAACTTTCGGCAAGACATTGGAGTTTTAAATATTTATTGCCTTGTGCTGATAGATTGTATATCAAAAGACACAAGGTTAAGATTCTCTATGTGGACTACATCACAAACAAAACTTGTCATGAGAACATCATGTGATCAATTAAACCACAAGATATTAACCATATTCATAAATGACAATAACTGTCAATGAACACTTATGAATGGTAAAATATTCTAAACCATTAGGACATTTCCATGTGATTTTTTTTCTTAAATATAGAATGAGGTAACACAATGAACATGTGTCGGGAATTTTTGTTGTCAACTTTTAATCTAAGAGTTGCCAAGAGCACAAACTGCCAAATAAATAAAAAAATGTCAGTAATGACACTGAGTGCATTGGATGAATGCAAAACAACACATGTGGCAAATTCCAGACATTCAAATCAACGAAACGATGCATTTACCTCATGCCATAATTCGTGACGCAATTTGACCATTTACGGTACACTAGCTGGTAATGCCATAACACTCCCAGTCATGCTGAATGACCGAACTGCAATGGATGACATTGAATTGTAAGGACATTGGACACTGTCTGTTGGTCACCTGATCATATTTCGGTCTGTTGAGCTTGAAAGGAGGGTATCCTTCACTTGACACCGCTTTCTGCAAACTTCCCATTATCGTGTCTTTTGTCACCTTCCCCTCAGCTCGTCATGTGGAGCAGACGTTTGTAAACTGTACAGTCACGTGACAACGCCGCTTGCAGGTGCGTGTTAGAGTTACTTCCCTTAGACCATATGTCTTCTCGTGAGAATTTTGTGTTGGTTGTAACTAGTTTGAACTAAGTTTTATCATTATCTGCTTTGTAAAATGCGGCCGAAGTGTTTTAGATGATAAGGTATTCTTAACTAATGTAGACCAGTATGTATGACTAATGTTATTTTAAAAAGATCACTAACAGTAATGATAATTGACCCCCACCCTTAAAACAACCCAACAACAACAACAACAAATACAACAACAAATATAAAACTTACAAAAACACTAGCACCAACAAAGATTTATACATTAAACAACAACTAAAAACAAAAACCCCAAACCCCAAAAACAAAACAAAACAAACAAAAGAAGACAAACACAGCTTAGCCTATGGGTGTGCATTAAGACTTTCAGGGTAGTTTCTCATTAAGTAGAGTTCGAACATCTAACAATATAGGTGGTAGCAATTTGTAGTTATTAATTATGTACTAAAGCTTAATTAAGTCCTGATACTGCATTTATTTGAAAACAAATGGTAAATATTATCATCTTTATGTGCTAATATATAATACTGAATGTATATGATGTAGACAGGTATATTGAAAAAAATATATGTTCATTGACCAATTTAAAGAGGATAAGAGAGGACTATAGTTTAGTCCCAGAAATAAGGTCATTCACAAATACAAATACATATCCACAACAATATGACCCCTCCCCAAAAAAAACCCCAACAACAACAAAACACGTTTAAAAACAACAAAAACTTTTTTAAAAAATAGATAAAAAAAACAAAATAAATAAAAATAATATCATAAAAGAAGAAGAAAGAAAATAAAAAAAGAAAATAAGATAAAGATTTAAATTGTTTTTTTTTTTAAATCATTAAACAATTTTTCGTACAAAAAATAGTAATAATAACAGAAGTAAACAGATATAAACAATTAAATCCAAAACCCAAACAAAGCAAATAAATCCTGTGTCCTGATCAATGCTAACTTCAAGGCAATATAACCCTGCCAAATTATTCTTGACTTTGTTGGATTCCTATTTTGGGAGATTTGCGAGGACAAAAACTGAAAACCAGTTTTGTTATCTATTATGCAGAAAAAGGCCGTTTGTCCAGACGGTCACGTTCTCAATGAAATCTCCCAGGTTAAACCAATGTTTGTCCGGATAAAGGATTACCAGACCAACGGGACTAACAGGACATTACTGAGCATTAAAATGCTTGTATACCTTCAATTTCCTGGGTCATTTCTTATAGCCTCTTATAACCTTTTGACATAACCTATTCGCACCAGTTGACACAAGTATGTTCGTACGTGGGTCACCATTTGGCGTTCCGGTACCCAACATATGTCTCGTCTGTCTGTAAGTGAGTATGGTTTTACGCCGCTTTTAACAATATCCAGCAATATCACGGCGGGGACACCAGAAATGGGCTTCACACATTGTACCCATGTGGGGAATCGAACCCGGGTATTCGGCGTGAGGAGCGAAGGCTTTAACCACTAGACTACCCAACCATCCCCTGATGATAAAATATCGGATTGACTGTGTAGGGTTGAACGCTGCTTTGAACAACTTTTCAGTTCTATCACTGCGTGGCAGCCTATTGTGGGAGGACGTGTCGAAGTGATGCATTCTCAGAATTGACACCTTGGTGAAACTCGACAACGCAGGTATGGTGTTAATAGAATTGAGTGAGTTTAGTTTTACGCCACACTCAACAATATTCCAGCTATATAGGATGTCTGTGCCAGACAATCCAGTGATCAACAGCATGAACATCGATCTGCGCAATTGGGAACCGATGACATGTGTCAACCAAGTCAGCGAGCCTGACCACCCGATCCCGTTAGTCGCCTCTTACGACAAGCATGGTTTACTGAAGATCAATATTCTAACCCGGACCTTCACTGGTTAAATTCTTTAACGTGATGACTCATTTCGATAAATGTTACATATACATGTAATAACATTCACATTTCAATGGCGCTGATTCACTTGCCTACATTATGTCGAACCTGAGATCTTACATTTATTTCATGGTAACTGGTTGAATAACTTGGCTATTTCCTCCCTCCTTAAGACGAAACTAATATTTTAAAAATATGTCGCTATTTGTGTTATCTATTGTACATGGATACTGTGGGTGGTAGAAGCATGACGCTGTAATCAGTGAAATATGAATTCAATAGTTCTTTTAAGCGCTGGAATAAAGGATTATGTAACAAGAAATTCCGTTCCTCAACATCACGCCCCAACGGTCTAAGGGAGACAACTCTGTCACCGCGCACCTGTTAACAACCCGCGTGACAGGCAGGTTTACAAACTGTGCCACAGTGAGCTAGGTGACAGAACCACAGACGGAGCGATGGCGAGTGAGGGGTACCCTCCTTTCAAACTCAACCGCCCGAGATATGACCAAGTGAGTATAGGCCATTGTTTAGTGTTTTGTAACTTATACTCCATTTACATATACTGAAAATATGCATCGCCTCTTTAAGAGACTAAAGTTACTTTGATACCCGTGGTCAGTTTATAAATAATAGTTGTGGTATCTCAGTTGTTATGCTACATTAAAATACCTTAAACTGTTTCCACATAGTTAGATTACAGATAGAAATAGATTATATAAGGTATAAGTCCGAAATGACGAGGGGTCCAGCACGTTATGACCAATGGTGTCCAGTTATGACCAATGGTGTCCAGTTATGACCAATGGTGTCCAGTTGCCTACTGAAAGTGAGAAAAGTGATATAGGCAAACAAATAAAGATAGGCATATGAAAATAAAATGATTGAATATTAAATTAATGAAATGACGTATGTTTAATAGTAACTCAAAGAAGTTAATAAATAGCCAAATAAAAAAATAACATGGGATAACAAATGGACCATCAATGATAAATCGAATCAGCTGATCCCAAAAAATTATGAGATCAAATGGTATATTTGCTCAAATTGTTTGTGACAACATCATGCTTCAAGTGACATGTGAATCCAATTGATCAAACAAGGGTAGACAACCCAGCCCTATTTCTCATTGATCCAGTACTGAGGAATGTTAACAAGCCAATCATGTCAGCTACATTAGTTCAGGCGGTAGAGCCACTGTTCATATTGATAGCGCCAAGGCTTTGCTGTGTGTCAGTCACATGGTGGGGCTTAGAAAATGTTTTTCTTACAGTTTCACTTGACCATGATGAAATACTCATATACGTGGAAATATTTCTGTCATTGCAGATTAGTGTTTTATTACCAGGTTTTGTGGCCAGAGAATTATGTAAATACAATACATCTGATCACTTTGTTTTGAAAAAAACCTATTACTGTGTCCTAGATTTTGGTATTTATACCTATGTTTTGTAATCTAATACAAATTGAGTGGTAGTGTAAGTACTAATGATTTGATTTGATCTTCTGAAAGCCTACCTAATTTTGTAATGTTTTGTTATAAAAATGTAAATGTTGTAACTGACAGTACTATACAGTTGTATCCTAGTAGAAACAGGAGCTATTGTGACTAAAGATGAATGTTGCTAGATATTGTGAATGAGAGAGTCAGATGGATGGGTTGACGAAAAGCGAGAGCGTGAGTGAGTGGTCAGTCTCCTTTCAGGCTGCTGACCTCTGTTTCTCTATGATATTGTTGTGACATCACACAATCACAGGATTTATCATATATATGTGTATACATATGTCTTGTCCTGAGTTGTGATTATACCATGAATATGAAGAAAAAGTCTTTGCTAGTGAGTCACGAAATATGTATGTATTTCCTTTTAAGTATGTATTTATGTCTACTCTTCTACCTTACTAAGCCAGACCGAAAGGTTTGGGTTCAAATTTCGTTTCACTTTGGTATTTTATTCTTAATCCGAGGAAATTCTGATAAAGAAAAGGAACAAATTTATGTATTGTATTGACAACTTCTTTACTGCAATAGATGCGACGTTTCGGTGTAGATGCTAACACTGTTATCAAGCAAGGGATAATGGTGCTAGCATCTGTACTGAAACGTTGCATCTATTGCAGTAAAGAAGTTGTTACGGTAATCCATAAATTTGTTCCACTTCATCACTCCAGCTTCTAAATTGCTCTTAAAGAAACTTTTCAAATGTTGGTAATGATTGCAGGGCACCTACCTGGGTCGACTGCGGCACTTCATGGATGTGATAGATCCCCGGACGCTGTTCACCACAGAGGTAGGTACACAAGAAGCAGTAGCCAGTCTTGGGTCTATCCTCCTCGCACATATTGCATGGGTGGTTAACATTCACAGGAGGTGTGTCCAAAACAGTGCTTGTCACCACCTGTGAGACTCAGAAGCAGATCAAATCCCCAGCACCCTATAATATATACAGTCGAGCACCGTTGTCTCGATATTCATGGGACCTAGAAAAAATATCGAGTTATCCGAACTTCGAGACATCCGACCAGGGCATATCATCACATATCACTATGAAAGAAAACAAAACGCTTCTCAGTATGTTTTGATTCAAAACTATAATCCGTTATCAGTAGTGTTTAGTCGTAACAATGAGTATTTCCTAATTAAATCCTTCTTAATTAATCCTAATTAGATAACAAACAAGTGACACCTTCAACTTAATTAGCCCAAATTAGTTTACACTATCGCATCCCTTTGATTCATGTGGAAACAACCTCAGTTCAGAGGGATACTTGCCCATGAAAGGTAGGTGAATATCGAGATTCTTTGCAAATACTGAGTTAAAAGGGTAAGTTTGCTTGTTGGGACCATGAAATTTTATTGAGGTATCCGAAATATCAAGACATCTGTATCGAGTTAAAAGAACTTGAATAGTGATAAATTATGAAGGAATTTGCGGGGACAGAGATATTATATTGAGACAACCAAGATATCGAGTTATCAGAGTTCGACACAACGGTGCTCGACTGTAATTCTGATAGTAACTAATAATCCCATTTAAACGGAAAAGAAGCCCCAGTGAGATGGGAGAACCTGGAGAAATCTAGACTTACTTCATTTAGGGCTTTAGCATGGAGGGCAATGCAGTAGGGAAAATATGTGGTTCAGGGACAGTGAGATTGACTAGCTGGCATTCACAGGAGGTGTGTCCAAATCAGTGCTTGCCACCATCTGGGAGACTCAGGAGCAGATTAAATCCTCATAACCCTAAAATATTGTCTCTTCTATTGGTATTCCAGCAGAAAATAGATCCCAAGTACCCCCTGCTTCTGAGTACTGACTAATAATGACAGGATAGTGATGGTGAACAGGCTGACTGTCATCATGCTCACTTCCATTGATTGTTGCTCATGCTGTCAACCACTATCTAGTAGTGTTGGAAATTGGTTAAAATCTCATAATTGATGATTGGTTCATTACAACCGATCAATCATCGAAAATAATTGGTTAGCGTCATTTATGAAATGTGTTAATGCACAAAAACATAGGGAAAAAAACATGTAGTTCTTTGGGTTGTTTTTGGCAAAATTTCACATCTTTAAAGGATGACTGGTATGGAGGAACATACATTTCTTAGAGTCTTTAAGATAAATACAATCATGACTTGGAACGAGCTTGTAGTGCTTATGAAATGTAACAGACAAAACCAACCTCGTGAAAAATACTGTTAATGAAAACCAGTGTTCTAGAATTGTTTGTGTTCGATTATGAGAAAACATGATCGATTGCTTGGTCGTTTAGTCACTGCGACCAATCTTCGATTATTTCAATTAATCTGACCACCCCTACTATCTAGCCTGGATCAGAATGGATTATTTATACCAGGATACAGCTGGTCTGTTGCTCCCCTGATTGTAAGGAGAGGGTAAGTGTGGCTTTATGCTGCTTTTAGCAATGTTCCTGCAATATCATGACAATGGACAGCAGAAAATGGGCTGCAATCATATGGGGAATCAAACCCAGACACCCAGACATGATGAGCGAATCCTTGAACCACAGGCCTAATCAAACACCCTGTCCTTGCAAGGAAAATGTGAGAGGGCTGGACAAAAATACCTTTGATCCCATTCAGATCTACACAGATTACCTTCCCTTCCTTCTTCCTGTGTTTGGGGCGGTGGGGTATCCAAGTGGTTAAGGTGTTCGCACGCCAAAGACCCGGGTTCGATTCTCCACATGGGTACAATGTGTGAAGCCCATTTCTGGTGTCCCCCGCTGTGATATTGCTGGAATATTGCTAAAGGCGGCATAAAACCAAACTCACCCACTCTTCCTGTGTTCCAGGCTAAGCTCCAGGCTTCAGTGACTCTGTTGGAGGATTACAGTAATGGCAACCTCAAATCATCCACTACAGACAAGCAGCTCTGGGAAGCACAGAAAATTAAACAGGTAAATTAGTCTTCGTTTTATTTGTATTAAAAATTTGATATTCATCAGAAAGACTAAAAATTACCAATTTGTTTTTGTGATTTTTCAGTCCATGATCCACTCCAGACACCGGGTGAGAAAATCTTCATGCCATTTCGTATGTCAGGTAAGACCGTGATCCAACTGAGACCATACAATGTTGTTGATAATTCACTGATCCAAGAAGCATGTCAGTTTACTACCCACTGTTCCCAGATCACTGTATGTCCATGGACCACTGTTATTTGATCTTTATGAATGCTGGGAAAGGAGTGAGTGAGTGAGTTTAGATTTACGCCGCACTCAACAATATTCCAGCTATATGGCAGCGGTCTGTAAATAATTGAGCCTGGACCAGACAATCCAGTGATCAACAACATGAGCATTGATCTGTGCAATTGGGAACCGATGACATGTGTCAACCAAGTCAGCGAGCCTGACCACCCGATCCTGTTAGTCGCCTCTTACGACAAGCATAGTCGCCTTTTGTGGCAAGCATGAGTTACTGAAGACCTATTCTACCCCGGATCTTCACGGGTCTCTGGGAAAGGAATCAACTTATTCTTTTTTGTTATTCTGTTGTTACAATCAATGTTCAGGTGTTTTTGTATATGTATAACATTAATAGTCATGATATAAAGCATTAATATTAACTCTCTCACTCAATATTCAGAGGTCAGTGCCTCCTCCCCTGAACCTGGAACAATGAGGTACATGTAATATGTTCTGTTTCAGGGAATGTCCCTTTTGGAGCTCCTATTGTAAGTCTAAACATATTTTTCTGAACTTAAATTGTTTAAATGAATACATCTTATGAATATGGCTAATTTGACTGACTGTTTTAACAAGATTTTCACATCATGGGAAATATTAAAAATTTGTGTCGAACTAGGCCTTACATATTGTATATTTGATGTATAAAGTTTAACTATCTTGCTCCCTCCTACCCCCTACATACAGCCAGCCTACCCTCCCACTCTTGCTCTGGGGCTGAGGGGTAGCCTATTGGTTAAAACGTTCATTCATCACGCCAAAGACCAGGGTTCAATCCCCCTCATGGGTACAATGTGTGAAGCCCGTATCTGGTGTCCCCTGCTGTGATATTGCTAAAAGCATTGTTAAACCTTATTCACTCACTCACTCTCATGCTCTTAACTTTGGATGATGTTTTATGATGTGGCCAGTCTTCATACTTCACACGCTCCCAATCTTGATACTTCACACGCTCCCAGTCTTGATACTTCACACGCTCCCAGTCTTGATACTTCACACGCTCCCAGTCTTGATACTTCACACGCTCCCATTCTTGATATATCACACGCTCCCAGTCTTGATACTTCACACGCTCCCAGTCTTGATACTTCACACGCTCCCAGTCTTGATACTTCACACGCTGGGATAAGACAGTTGCAGTATTGCTGGCCTTTTCAAGATATTTTATGACTGCTTCATTCAATGAGTGCTTTAAAGTTGTGTGAATTTTTGTTTCCACATATTTGTTGTATTGTCTGTTCATTTGTCATACACACATTTACTGTGGTTTATTGATACTGTTTTCTTGCAACTGTTGTTGTTTGCTGAGCAGGTAACCGGCCTTCTGCTGCCCAACCCCTCAATGTTCCACACAATCTTCTGGCAGTGGTTGAACCAGAGTCACAATGCGGGTATCAACTTCTGTAACAGAAATGCTACGAAGGTAAAACACTTGTATGAAAACAGATAATATCAGATGAAGGTGTGTTACAAAGAAAAAAATCTGGAAATGAAATTTGGCTAAAGGAAGAAGACTGTGGATTTTATTCCCAAGGCTTGAAACTATGACTGTTTTGAAATCAGACTTGGTGATGTTGATCTTAAGTACAACTGGTTAGTGCTAAATGACTTATAATAGACAAACTAATTTGAGCTCATCGATACGCTGATCCTTAACAATCCCCATCCTTGTATTTGCTTGTAGGTTCTTCTCTTGCCATTGCTAGCTCACCTGACTGAGCTAATTCACCTGAAATCATTTGATTCAAGAAAAAATATTTGTTAAGTTTGTTGTGACCTTTGGAACTAACTATTAAATTCCTTTAAAATGCTAATTTCAATTTTTCTCAATAATTGTCACCCCAATTGAGTTTTAACTTCACTATGAATGACATCATATTTTATTTTTAATTTATTTGATGTTTAATTTGAAGTTTTTAGTCCTCCTTAATTATGAAGAAAGTGTTTGAGGAGGCAGTTTTTTGTTGTCCATGGAAGGAGGTGAGCTATAGTTCTGTGAACCCATGATGATAGGAGTTAGAATTGTGTCTTCAGCAACCTAAGCTTGTCGTAAGAGGCGACTGATGAGATCAGGATGGGATGAGTTTTTTGAGGCATGTCATATCTCGATTGTGTATTGCAATGTTTGAGATGTAAATCATTGGATTTTCTGGCTCATACCTGATTACTTACAGACAGACCGCCTCCGTGGTGTAGTGGTTAGAGCGTCCACCCAGAGAGCGGAAGGTCGCGGGTTCGATCCCCGACTGTGTCATACTAAAAGACGTTAAAATATGGTACTTGTTGGTCCCTGCCTGGCGCTCGGCATTAATGGGTACAACAAGGACTGGTTGGCTCGGAGTCAGTATAATGTGTCTGAGTGGGGTATTCATGCTTCACTGCCGCATGGTATCTCAGTGGGCTAGCACTATAAAACCAGCTTCAGTCTGGGCTAGTACAAGCAGCCGCACATACACATACACACGCATGCACGTCGTCATATGAGCGAAATATTCTCAAGCACGACGTAAAACCCAATTTCACCTCATCTCACTTACAGACTACCATTATATAACTCGAAAATTGCTACGGGCTGTGTTAAACAGCCACCAGACAGACAGTTCTTTGTCACTATTTTGCAGATGTGTTTGGCAGTTTGCAACTTGATCAGAAAACTGTAGGACAGAAAATAAAATAATACACCTTTGGATGATTAAATATTTCGAATATGAGGATTGTCATAATTTCATATGATTCTAAGAAATGTTTCAATAAACAGTTTTAAGTCTTTGAATGGCTCTGAGAAGAGATTCACAAAAGGGAGAGAATTTATGGATGACAATTGTCCTATTATATGTATACTGAACACAATATATATTTTGGAGTATATGATTTTCTTTAATGTAGGGATTTCTTGCATATGTTAAAGAATCCTTACTTTACAGGAAACCCCTACATCCAGGTTCCTGATTGGCTATTGTGGCGCTGTCACGAGTGCCTTGTCCATTGCTGTGAGTTCAGTTGCAGTTGTCTCCCTTCCCCCACTTGCAGGCTTTTAGACCTGACAATGGCACATTTCTTTTATGACGTTAAATGCCAAAGTCAGCAATTCTGTTGCTATTTCTTGGCTGTTATTATGGAAAATCACATACAAAGAAAAAGAACAACTTTAGATTAATATTTATTGTATATATATATATTTACCTGTAAGGGATTTCTTCAAAGTTTACAATAGCAAGATACAGGAAGTATCAAGTGATTGTGTATTTATCCTTTACTTGTTTCAATCTAATATCCATAAACCTGGAGCATTTAACATTCAGCTGTTGACAAGACATGTAGTGTTATTGTGGTTTGAAATGGAGAGTGGATTTGGAATGATTTCTAAAATCTGGCCATATATTAAAGTCTTGGCATGTCAAGCTAGATATAGAACTAAGCGACATATACTTCCATGTATCTATCCTCAGATTTTGTTCAACAGTATCTGAACCTTTCTCAGTGAAGTACAGATTCTATTACATTTATTGGGTTGAGTACCATCCAAGATTTGAACCCATACCCTCAGAGTCAGGCACCTAATCGCCAGCACACAAGTCAGCCACCTAACCCGCTCACCTAACCTTGGGACTCAACCCAACAAAAGTACTAGAATCTGTACTTTACTTAGAAAGTGTAATCCCAAATATAACACGTGTTATGTTGACCAGTTTTCAAATGGCATTGTGTCTTCATAATATCTGAACCATTCACTCTCTCCTCAGGTGGGTCTCAATCTACTGATAAAGAATGCTCACAAGTTCAGACCAGCCACCAAACTTCTGATTAAGAAATTCATTCCATTCCCAGCTGTAGGTATGTGTGTCATCTGCTGATACAGAAGTTCTTGTTACCTTCCGAGCTTTGGCCTTGGTCACTGATTTTGTGTACTGGCGGTATGGTTTGAATCCTAGCTGGGACTCCCCCAACAAAAAGCACTACAATGTGTACTTTACTAAGAAAGTGGACTCCCAAATACATCAGTTGTTACAGTGATATACGGTTCCTTGTCAGAGATACAACTGATCACAGAGCATTGTGTTCCTCTATTCTGTTGTAACATGCTCCTTTCCCTGTTATTCAGCCACAGCAAGCACCTGCAATGTTCTCCTCATGAGGAACTTTGAGTTGTCAGAAGGTATTGAGGTGTTTGACCAGAATGAGAAGATGGTCGGAACATCCAAGATTGCCGCCAGAAAAGTAGGTCAAGACCTACATTCTTTTGAATGAAAAACTGTCACCCAACAATGTACAGGGATTATATAGTGAGCCATTTCAAAACACATGATCAATTCTAATTTGAAAGACAAGAAGATGACTCTCAGCTGTAAATATTTATTAACATAATGAAAGACGACTGTGATAAAAATGACTTTCTTGTGTTTGATTTTCTCATGACTAAATGTACAGAACAACTTGATTTGGTTTGTTGCCAGTTTTCAAAATATCATGTTGACCCAAATCTTTTAGGAATAAGACATTGTGAGGAACTATGGTTTTTAGTACTCCTGTAGTAGCACCTTTAGAATTCTGACCTCTGACCTCTAAACCTTGACCTCTGACCTCAGGCTCTGAAGGAGACGGCCTTGACCCGGATATGCCTGCCAGCTCCAGTTTTCATCATTCCTCCAATCATCATGTCTGTCTTGGAAAAGTGAGTCACCTGACATGAGCGGTTTCATATAAAATTCAGAATTCACATGACAGGGTGTGATTACTGTGATTAGAGAGCACCATTTCCTGAAAACATTTGCTGAGCAGAAAACGTAAGAGAACGCCCATGGATGATAGTATTTTTTTGGTTTTGTAAGAATTCCCTGAGATATGGGCACAATAAACCTAAGAGTTCTGTTGGTTTGTTTGAGCATTAATATTAAAATGTAGTTTCTTAATTTCCTATCAAATATTTGAAACAAATTAAACAAAGGGAAAGGCATGTATGTAGGAGCCTAAGCCAGCATGACTGGTGTCATTCAGGAAATTCGCACAATGTTGAGAAATCATTTTGATAGTGATCTGATATTTTGTTCAAGAGTTAAAGCTACCATGTGGATTTAATGGGTTTTTTTAGGATACTGTTTTCTTATACTAAGGGACCGTTCATAATTAATGGCTAAGGGGGTGATGATGATTTAAGGGGGGGTCACCCATTTTGTTCTGGTGAGGTAGGGGGTGTCATCAATTTTGTACACACGTACTAGTGGGGGTCATCAATTTTGTACATAAAAATATGCTTAAAATTATGCTTAGAAATTATGGGGAGGGGGGGGGTCATTCATTTTCTACATGACATGCAGAGGGTGTCACTTATTTTGTACATAAATTTTAGGGGGGGGTGTCATTCACATTGTACAAGCTTCTCCATAAAAATCATCATCACCCCCCCCCTAGCCATAATTTATGAACGGCCCCTAAAGATGAAAAGCCTTGACCCATTAGTGAAAGGACAGTACAATAATCAGTTAGTGAAGGATGTATATTTTATAAACAAAATTTGTCTTGAGTTTTGAAAAATCAGCCACTTGTTCTCATGTAAGCCATACTTAGAAACATTTAAGAAAAAAAATACCTGCCAATCAGTTATAAGAAATGTCTAGTAACATTCATTATTTCTATCAGTCTAAACTTTGCCATTCAAAGAGGGTGAAATTGATGGCTTTAACCTGATGTTGACTGTCTGGTTTGCTCCACTTGTAGAACCAAGTTTCTCCAGACTTATCCACGAATCCACCTGCCAGTGAATGCTGTTGTGTGTACCACTGTGTTTGGACTTGCTCTTCCTATGGCCATAGCACTGTTTCCACAACTCTCACAGGTAACATGTTCAGGTGGAGCGGTGTGTAGTTGCCCAACACTACTACATCTACTTCTACTTTAGTAACCCATGCTTGTTGTAGGAGGCGACTAACGGGATCGGGTGGTCAGGCTTGCTGACCACATGTCATTGGTTTCCAATTGAGCAGGTCGATGCTCATGCTGTTGATCACTGGATTGTCTAGTCCAGACTCGATTATTTACAGACCGCCGCCATATAGCTGGAATATTTGCTGAGTGCGGCGTAAAACTAAACTCACTCACTCACTCACTCATTCACTCACTACCTCAGTCAGTCACTCACTCACTCACTCACTCGGCACACAAGACAGTGCATGAAGGCATTAAAGAAAATGAGCCTCACCACCGAGTGAAGAATGTTCACCAAGAAAGCAGATGGTTAGTTGGTGCAATTCATCACTACATTTTTTATATATCCAGCTGTGTTTGAGCGACACATAGACAAAAAATGTAAACAATATGTTTTTTTTCTCTTTCTCTGTTGTCTATATAACTTTGAAAGGGAATAAATTAGAATATTTCATCACCAAAGAAAATATGATTTTTCATCACAACGTTGATGTCTTTGCTCTGGACCTGTCACAAGACTGAAACATAGACTCGTCACATAAAACAAGAAACACATCGGGACATTCATACTTGACAACAAGACATGTGACATGTTGTTTAACGGACATTTTCTCCCCCCTGTGGAAGGTAAGAACAAAGGAACACTTCTTTTTTTTAATATAAAAACTTTGAAGCTGACGATGGAGAAATTGGATCTGATTTAAAAAACAAACCTATTAACAACATCCATTGAAAAAGAAATGTTGTAAAAAACTATAGATGAGAGAGTGCAGCATGCTCAACTTTGCAATAACTTGCTTTGTGGATGAAAGTTGCTGCATTATAATGTAAATATTGTCCACAAGGGTGTTATCCACTAGTGGATGTAAAGGTTGTATTGCTGCATTGTAATGGAAATATTGTCCACTTGGGTGTATGGCATAATGGAAGTATTGTCCACTGGGGTGTATGTTGTAATGGAAGTATTGTCCACTGGGGTGTATGTTGTAATGGAAGTATTGTCCACTGGGGTGTATGTTGTAATGGAAGTATTGTCCACTAGGGTGTATGTTGTAATGGAAGTATTGTCCACTGGGGTGTATGGCATAATGGAAGTATTGTCCACTTGGGTGTATGTTGTAATGGAAGTATTGTCCACTGGGGTGTATGTTGTAATGGAAGTATTGTCCACTGGGGGTATGTTGTAATGGAAGTATTGTCCACTTTAATGGTAATGGAAGTATTGTCCACACTGGGGTGTATGTTGTAATGGAAGTATTGTCCACTTGGGTGTATGTTGTAATGGAAGTATTGTCCACTGGGGTGTATGTTGTAATGGAAGTATTGTCCACATGTTGTAATGGAAGCATTGTCCACTTGGGTGTATGTAGTGTTGTCCACTTTGGGGTGTAATGGAAGGAAGTATTGTCCACTTGGGTGTATGTTGTAATGGAAGTATTGTCCACTTGTATGTTGTAATGGAAGTATTGTCCACTGGGGTGTATGTTGTAATGGAAGCATTGTCCACTTGGGTGTATGTTGTAATGGAAGTATTGTCCACTTGGGTGTATGTTGTAAATGGAAGTATTGTCCACTAGGGTGTATGTTGTAATGGAAGTATTGTCCACTGGGGTGTATGTTGTAATGGAAGTATTGTCCACTGGGGTGTATGTTGTAATGGAAGTATTGTCCACTAGGGTGTGTTGTAATGGAAGTATTGTCCACTGGGGTGTATGTTGTAATGGAAGTATTGTCCACTTGGGTGTATGTTGTAATGGAAGTATTGTCCACTAGGGTGTATGTTGTAATGGAAGTATTGTCCACTGGGGTGTATGTTGTAATGGAAGTATTGTCCACTAGAGTGTATGTTGTATGTTGTAATGGAAGTATTGTTCACTATTGGTGTATATTGTAATGGTAGTATTGTCCACTGGGGTGTATGGCATAATGGAAGTATTGTCCACTGGGGTGTATGTTGTAATGGAAGTATTGTCCACTAGGGTATGTTGTTATGGAAGTATTGCCCACTGGGGTGTATGTTGTAATGGAAGTATTGTCCACTGGGGTGTATGTTGTTATGGAAGTATTGTCCTCTTGGCTGTATGTTATAATGGAAGTATTGTCCTCTAGGGTGTATGTTGTAATGGAAGTATTGTCCACTTTGGGGTATGTTGTAATGGAAGTATTGTCCACTAGAGTGTATGTTGTAATGGAAGTATTGTTCACTGGGGTGTATATTGTAATGGTAGTATTGTCCACTGGGGTGTATGGCATAATGGTAGTATTGTCCACTCGGGTGTATGTTGTTATGGAAGTATTGTCCACTTGGGTGTATGTTGTAATGGAAGTGTTGTCCACTTGGGTGTATGTTGTAATGGAAGTATTGTCCACTTTGGGGTATGTTGTAATGGAAGTATTGTCCACTAGAGTGTATGTTGTAATGGAAGTATTGTTCACTGGGGTGTATATTGCAATGGTAGTATTGTCCACTGGGGTGTATGGCATAATGGTAGTATTGTCCACTCGGGTGTATGTTGTTATGGAAGTATTGTCCACTTGGGTGTATGTTGTAATGGAAGTATTGTCCACTAGAGTGTATGTTGTAATGGAAGTATTGTCCACTTGGGTGTATGTTGTAATGGAAGTATTGTCCATGCGGGTGTATGTTGTAATGGAAGTATTGTCCACTAGGGTGTGTGTTGTAATGGAAGTATTGTCCATGAGGGTGTATGACATAATGGTAGTATTGTCCACTTGGGTGTATGTTGTAATGGAAGTATTGTCCACTCGGGTGTATGTTGTAATGGAAGTATTGTCCACTAGGGTATGTTGTAATGGAAGTATTGCCCACTTGGGTGTATGTTGTTATGGAAGTATTGTCCACTTGGGTGTATGTTGTTATGGAAGTATTGTCCACTCGGGTGTATATTGTAATGGAAGTATTGTCCACTGGGGTGTATGTTGTTGTGGAAATATTGTCCACTAGGGTATGTTGTAATTGAAGTATTGTTCACTAGAGCGTATGTTGTAATGGAAGTATTGTCCACTGGGGTGTATGTTGTAATGGAAGTTTTGTCCACTGGGGTGTATGTTGTAATGGAAGTATTGTCCACTAGGGTATGTTGTTATGGAAGTATTGCCCACTGGGGTGTATGTTGTAATGGAAGTATTGTCCACTGGGGTGTATGTTGTTATGGAAGTATTGTCCTCTTGGCTGTATGTTATAATGGAAGTATTGTCCTCTAGGGTGTATGTTGTAATGGAAGTATTGTCCACTTTGGGGTATGTTGTAATGGAAGTATTGTCCACTAGAGTGTATGTTGTAATGGAAGTATTGTTCACTGGGGTGTATATTGTAATGGTAGTATTGTCCACTGGGGTGTATGGCATAATGGTAGTATTGTCCACTTTCGGTGTATGTTGTTATGGAAGTATTGTCCACTTGGGTGTATGTTGTAATGGAAGTGTTGTCCACTTGGGTGTATGTTGTAATGGAAGTATTGTCCACTTTGGGGTATGTTGTAATGGAAGTATTGTCCACTAGAGTGTATGTTGTAATGGAAGTATTGTTCACTGGGGTGTATATTGTAATGGTAGTATTGTCCACTGGGGTGTATGGCATAATGGTAGTATTGTCCACTCGGGTGTATGTTGTTATGGAAGTATTGTCCACTTGGGTGTATGTTGTAATGGAAGTATTGTCCACTAGAGTGTATGTTGTAATGGAAGTATTGTCCACTTGGGTGTATGTTGTAATGGAAGTATTGTCCATGCGGGTGTATGTTGTAATGGAAGTATTGTCCACTTGGGTGTATGGTGTAAAATGTTTATGAGGTGCATTAGAAACTGTTCTTTTTTCAGATGTTGTTATTCTGTTAATTAGATATACTTAGATTTACCAATGTTTTTTTGTTTTCTTAAGTACTGAGGTGAGAAGATTTTCTGTCTCATAACATTACAACTTATCATTCAGACATGAGTGTAAAAATAACTTGCCATAAGTTAAAGAAAGTGTTTCTATATTCTGAATGATTTCACATTTAGAAACCTTTTACATCTTACAAGACTCACAAATAACACCACTGGAGCGGAGATGAATGTGAAATATTGGAAAAATTCATTGCCATCTTCTCAAGCATGATATGGCATGTCAACATGGACAATATGCTGAGTAATATAAAACAGCATGATTTTTTCTATAGTTACTATGGCTACAGCTGTCATTCAGAAAGATCAAATACAATCGTTGGCGCACTAGAATACTTTTTATTATATGTATATTTTGTAAACTAATCAGTATGAGAGAGAGTTAAGATGTCCATAATCCTACTTAAATAAATACCATGATATCAACAAATCAGTGGTCAATTTGAACTTAAAGCCAACAAGCCAGAGTAATTATCTGCAAACCTTACAATTTAATATCTGTGACCTTAATAAATTCGACCCACAAAACCTTTAGCTCTTGTTACCTTCAGCTCTTTGCCCCCAGACATCTGAATTAAAGGAATTAGTTTTGGTATAAATGGAAACTTTTCTTATGAATGAATATATATTTCATGAAATAATGTTATTGAAACCAAAGCTTAAAGAACCACTAAACTTTGTTTTTTGTTACTCTTTTAACCATTACATATCAAAAAATTTGTGGTTAGTCTTATGCGGAACACCAAATTTATTCTTTAAAAACTTGTGGCTAATTAATACCGAGCGATTAAAAGTGGCCAAAAAGTCGCCTGCTTCCCTCTCGCCCGCCAACGAAACCACAGACAGGTTACGTAACTCTGTCGCCAGAGCACTGCAGTGACGTCATATGAGGAACGATTTTCGTTAATGTTGTATAGAAAATGTGTAGCACGCTCATCATTTTGATGATTTCTCGACATCAACGACGACACGCCGAATCGCTGCTTTGTCGCCAATTGCTCCTAG